CAAATTTTAACTGTTCTTTTTTAGCCCTTTTTGTAACCAATTAAGGTGGCACTTAACATCATTGATTTTAGAGCCTTTTTTCTGATGAGAGCATTTTAAAGCTGTAAATTTTCCTCTAAAACACTTCTTTAATTGCATCCCACACAGTTTGACCTTTTTCTTTTTCATTTTCATTCAGTTAAAAAGATTTTTGGATTTCTCTCAATTTTTTTTTCTTTCATCTGTGGTTTACTTAAATGTACATCATCTTAATTTTCAATAGCTGTCCAGGTGATAATTCGATCTATAGCATTAAAAACTAACAAAAATCCAGAATGTTGTATGGTAGTATATACCTGTAATCCTAAAACCACAAATTCGAGGCTAGTCTCAGCAATTTAGTGAGACCCTCAGCAACTTCACAAGACTCTGTCTCAAGATTACAGAACTGAAAGGACTGGGCGGGTAGCTTAGTGATAAAGCACCCCTGGGTTCAATCCCCAGTACCAAAAAGAAAAAAAAATCCAGCAGGTTATAATAATAATACAATTCCTTGAATGTTTTATGCCGGTTTCTCATTTCAAATTCACAAATCTGAAATGCTTTGACATCCCAAACCATTTGAATGTTATGTTGGCACTCAAAAAGTTTCAGATCTCCACTGGGCATGTGGTATATGTCTGTAATCCCAGCTACTCTGGAGTCTGAGGTAGGAGGATCATAAATTCCAGGCCTTCTGGGCAATTTATTGAGATCCTGTCTCAAAATAAAAAAGGGTTGGAGATGTATCTCAGTGGTAGAGTACTTGCTTAGCATGTGTGAGGCTCTGCATTTAATCTCTAGTATCATACAAAAACAAAACTGTTTCAGATCGTGGAGCATTACAGATAGCAAATTTTTTGATTAGGAATGCTCAACTGGTGAAGTCTATGCAAAAATCCCAAAATTCTAAAAACTCTGAAACTTGAAATGCTTCTGGACCAAAGCATTTTAGATAATGGGTAAGATTGTTTTCTTTTTTCTTTCTTTCTTTTTTTTTTTTTTTTTTGGCGCGTGCACACGTGTGTGTGTGTGTGTGTGTGTGTGTCTGTCTGTCTGTCTGTCTGTCTGTCTCTGTCTGTCTTCTAAGAACAATTCGTTGTCTTCCACTGTTCTTTGAATTGACCCAGCTCACTTGGGCAGTTTCTTCCCTGGCTCCCTCATGCAGTTGCTGTCCCACGGCAGCCAGCACTCCAGTCCTCTGCAGCTTGACTAGGCTGGATGATCACCAGAGCCAGCCTCTTGCTCTGCTGGCATGACCAGGACAGCTGGGTGTGGGCTGGCCACTTCTCGCTACACAGCTTCTCTGTGGAATAGTTGGCTTTTACACAACATGGGGGTCTTAAAGGTAGTCTCATTTTGCATATAAGTTGTTTTTACATAGGTAATTTATCTGGTCTACTTTTTCAAAATAAGTAAGGTAAAATTCATTGGGGTAATAAGATATCCTGTAAGTTTACTTTTATAAATTGAGGTGAAATTAACATAAGACAAGCATGTTAGTGTTTTCATTTGCTGGCATTTAATACATTGTCAGATTTATGCAAACCACCATCTTAATCAAAAAGTGTCAAAACACTTTTATACGTATTACTTATACTTCCCTCTCCCCCCCACCCCCCACCTGGCAATCACCAGTCTGCTTTCTGTCTCTTTGGATGTATCTTTTCTAGATCTTTCATGTAAATGAGTTGTACAATGTGTAGCTGTTTGTTGCTGGCTTCTTTCACTTAGCGTTTAGAGGTTCATCCAGACTGTGACATATATCAGTACCTTAATTCCTTTCTCCTGTTCTGTCTGAATAATATTCCATTGTAGATACATACCCTATTTTATTTATCCATTCACTTGTTGGTGGCTGTTTGGGTTGTTTCCCCTTTTGGCCATTATGAGTTGTGCTGCTATGAATCATTCATGTTCAAGTGTTTAGTACTGATTTTCAGTCCTGAGTATGTCTGGAGTGGAATCGCTAGGTCTTATGTAATTTTATGTTTAACCTTTGAAGAACTGCCAAGCTATTTCACACAGCTGTGGTACCATTTTACATTTATACCAGTAATGGAGAGTTTCAATTTCTCCATGTCCTTGCCAACATGCTATTTTCCTGTCTTAATTATAGCCATTCTAGTGGGTATGAAGTGGTATCTCATTGTGGTTTTGGTTAGCATTTCCCTAATGGCTAATTAAATTGTGCATCTTTTTGTGTTATGATTGGCCATTTTTATTTCTTCTTGAGAAATATCTCAAGTCTTTGTCCATTTTTAACTTAGTTTTTTTTGTTATTGAGTTATAAGAATTATTTATATAGTTTGAATGCTAGACCCTTATTAGATATATAATTTGAAGATAGTTACTCCCTATAGATTGTCTCTTCAAAATATATAATATGAATGAACGCCCCCCCCCCCAATATGGGATTGAACCCAGAAACACTTAACCACTGAGCCACATCCCCCGACCTTTTTATATTTTATTTTGAGACAGGATCTCACTAAGTTGCTTAGGGCTCTATTAAGTTGCTGAGGCTGGCTTTGAATTTATGATCCTCCTGCCTCCTAGTATTACAGGTGTCCACCACACCCAGCTATTGATATCCTTTGATGCACAAAAATTTTTAATTGATGAAGTCCAGTTTATCTTATTTTTTCTTTTGTTGTTCATACTCTTAGGGTTCATCTAAGAATTCATTGCCACATCCAAGATTAAAAAGATTTACCCCTTTATTTTAGATTGTTAATGCATTTTGTGTTAGTTTTGGTGTGGTATGAGGTAGGGGTTCAGCTTCATTCTTATACCTGTGGATGTTCAGTTACATCAGCACTATTGGTTGAAAGGCTGTTCATTCCCCTTGAATGGTGCTAGCATCTGTGCTGAAAATCATTCAGCAATAGTATCTGGGTTATTTCTGGGCTCTCGGTTTTATATCATTGGTCTATGCCTGTGCTCATGGCAGTACCACAAAGTTGATAGTTTTTACTGTAGTGTATGTTTAGTATAGAGTATTAATTTTTTAAGCTTTGATTAGATTTTAGATTTGGAAAACTTGAGTAAAAAGATTATTTCTTTGTAAGTGCTAGATTTATAACACACTTTTTTTCTCTACATTTTTTTTGGTGCATTATTGTACTTATTGGTTGTTTTTATGTATTTATTCATACACAGTCAATATAATCTGACCAGTGTCATTTCCTGATGTTTCCCGTTTTCTTTCCCTCCTCCTTCCCTAGGGTCCCTTTCCTCTACTCTGCTGATCTCCCTTTGATTTTTCATGAGATCCCTTCCCCTACATCTTTTTTTTTTCTTTTTCCTCTCTGCGGACTCCCTCCCCCGCCTGGGGCTTAGGTCATATGTTACAAGAGAAACATATGACCCTTGACCTTCTGAGTTTGACTTATTTCATTCACCATAATGTTTTCACATCCCATCTATTTTCTTAAAATGACATAATTTCATTTGTGTGTGTGTCTGTGTGGTGCTGGGGATTGAACCCAGGGACGTGTACATGTGAGGCAAGCGCTCTACTATATCCCCAGCCCTCCTTTTTTTTTTTTTTTTAATGGCTGAATAAAACTTTATTAGCTGGGGTGTAGCTATGTATGTGGATAAAGCATGCTAGCCCAGCATATATAAGGCCCTGGGTTTGGTCCCCAGCACCACCAAAAAGAAAAAAACAAAAACCTTCCATTGATAACACACATTTAATGGACAACTTTATTTGAAACTTTTTGATGTGTTTCACTATTTCTCTACATATAAAATAATGATATACAGTGCGTATATCAAACTACATTGTTATTGAATCTTCTGTTGTCTTACAAATTTAAATATTCTAGTTAATTTACCTTGAGCCTTTAAATGAAGAACTAATTATACAAATTCAGTCTGCCAAAAGGTATAGTGTTGCTGGCTCTGCCAGTATAGGAACAGCTATCCGCAGAGTGGACTAAGCTTCATGTCAGGAAGATTATACATCTATAGTTTCTAGATCAAAAATGGTTGGAAACGTCACTGTTTACCCAGATCCTGGTTTACAACAATAGTTTCAATACTTTAGAACCAGAATATGTTATACTTCTTAAGTTTCTTTTAACCTGTACCTCCTCTTTTTCTCTCTCCCTTTTTTTTCCCCTGTGGTAATTTATTTGCTCAAGAAACTGGGTAGTCTGTCTTTTAGTTTCCCAACCTGGCTTTGGATTGGATCTCAGTGTTGCTGATTGGATCCCTGTGGTGCAATTTAATATGTTCCTGTGTGTTCTGAATTTCTGTCTTTGGTAGTGGGATATAAAGGGACCGAGTAATTCAGATTTAGATAACACATTTTTTGATGTTATTACATGTTCACTTCATAGAGTTTTAGAGAGATAGGGTGGTGTAGAGTTTAAGAAAGGAGCTCTGGAGTCCAGGAATCTGGGTTTGAGTTTTGATTCTTTTCCTACTAGTTCTGTAATCCAGGGCAGTTACTTACTGTCAATGTTGACGTTTTTATTTGTGAAATGGATTGGTGATGCCTACACTTAGGGTTGTTATGAAGATTAAGATAATGCATAGAAAGGAACATTGCACAGAACCTATACTAGAGTAAGTGGTCTATAAACATTAGCTATTATTACTGTTGTCTTACAAATTTAAATATTCTAAAACAATCCAAAAGGTAGATTTTCTTGCTAGGAAATTAAAATATGGAAAGCTAATTTTTGACTCACTTGAATTTATTTTAGGGTAAAAGTAAGTAACTTATTCAGCTAAGGGGTACACAACTCTTCTTTGTCCCTATCAATGTGAACATAAATTTATTTTCTAAAGTGATGTATTTTCATGCTTTAGATGTTGGCATAAATTCTTATTAACTGGTTTCGCCTAACATTGAGAAGAGTAGGCTTCTTATTAAACGACTGCATCATAGCACAGATTTAATCTTGCTTCCTATTGCAAAATTCTTTTCTTTTTTCTAGGGAGCTTACTGTTAATGTTTTATTTTACAGGGTAATGTTCAAGCCCAGAAATGCCTTATGTGGATCGTCAGAATCGCATCTGTGGTTTTCTAGACATTGAAGAAAATGAAAACAGTGGGAAATTTCTTCGAAGGTACTTCATACTGGATACCAGAGAAGATAGTTTTGTATGGTACATGGATAATCCACAGGTGTGTAAAATCCAAAGATTACCTTTAAAAAGCATAGTAAAGTTTATTTATTACATGATTTGACATGCTGTATAGGCTTTAGGATTTGTCTTTTTAGGTTATACTATGTTTATTATTACACTCTCTGTCTTATCTGTACCTATGACCCTTATTGTCTTGTTTGAGTTTCAGAAGGTAAAACTACATCATTTGATAAAAATTGTGTGTGTGTTTGTATGTGTATATCCTTCTTGGGAGAGAAGTGTTACCTCCAGTGGGATTTTTTTTTTTTTTTTAATCTTGCTATTTATTTAAAAAGTTGAAAAGTTACATATTCTAGTTTAACAGTTACTTTCCTGGAAATTTCTGTCCTTTAAGCATATGTGTAATTTAAAATTTAAATTAGCAATATTTATCAATCTTTTAAAAACAAATTTTTGTAGTTGTAGATGGACAGAATGTCTTTATTTATTTGTTGGTTTTTTATGTGCTGCCTCACGCATGCTAGGCAAGCACTCTGCCACTGAACTATAGTCCCAGCCCTTTATCAGTCTTAATACATCAAAATGATAAATGTTCCAGAAACTTGGAAGGCTAAGCAGGAGGATTGCAAATTCAAAGCCAGCCTCTGTAACTTAATGAGGCCCTAAGCAACTTAGCGAGACCCTATCCTAAAATAAAAAATAAAATGGACTGGGGATGTGACTCAGTGATTAAGTGCCCCCTGAGTTCAATCCTGGGACCAGAAAGAGGAAAAACAACAACAACAACAAAACAATAATCCCTGTTACCAAAAATACAGGTATAATAATAAATATGTACAGATTTTTAAATTTAGGTTTGTATACATTCAAATAATTTAATATAAAATTCTGTGAACCAAAATTACTGCATAATTGTGACCTACAAAGAGGACTCAGTCTATCTGTGGCACTGAGTAGGAACCACACCTGGGATTAGGCTTCTGCAAATATGTTTTCAGCTTGTATACCTACCTTGTTTATGTTCACATCTTAACTACCACAAATGCTTTTCCACCTATCTAAAATCTTATTCCTTTGAAAAAATAGTATGTATAGATGAGATATAAAACCCTTTTTAACTCTGAATGTTAAAAGGGGTGTACATAGTTCTGGTAGAAAATTTTTAACTCATTTGGTTGAGATGTTGTATGTAGGATAGGGATGATGATGATAATTATTATTATTTTAATGTGGTGCTGAGGATTGAACCCAGTGCCTCACACATGCTAGGCAAGCACTCTAACACTGAGCCCCAGCCTCAGCCCAAACTATTACTTCTTTTTTTTTTTTTTTTTTTTAGTTGCTCAAGACAATACAATGATCATGACATATCATACATTTGATTCAAATGGGGTATGGAGGATATACAATCAATCAACAATAACACGAAAAAATGCTCACCATCTCTAGCAATCAGAGAAATGCAAATTAAAACCACTCTAAGGTATCATCTCACTCCAGTAAGAATGGCAGCCATTATGAAGGCAAACAATACAAGTGCTGGCGAGGATGTGGGGAAATAGGTACACTTGTACATTGCTGGTGGGACTGCAAATTGGTTCAGCCAATTTGGAAAGCAGAATGAAGATTCCTTGGAAAGCTGGGAATGAACCACCATTTGACCCAGCTATTCCCCTTCTCGGACTATATCCAAAAGACCTAAAAAGAGCATACTATAGAGATACAGCTACATCAATATTCATAGCAGCACAATTCACAAACTGTGGAACCAACCTAGATGCCCTTCAATAGATGAATGGATAAAAAAAATGTGGCATTTATACACAATGGAATATTACTCAGCACTAAAAAAACCCAAAATCATATATAGTTCTTTTATAGTGTAAGACTTGACTGTCAGTCATTGTAATGCCATATGTGAACTGAAATATATTTAAATTTTATTGTTGCTTTGCAAGTCATTGGGATAAAGATCACAAATTAAAAATTAGGATCCCAGTTTCAAATTATGTGAGAGACTTAAAAATAGAAATCATCTGTGAGTAATTTTAAAATTTATTTGTGGGACTCATTTCAAATAAAACTTGATACAAAAGTTAAAAACAGAAATGTATGCTACAAGAAAATATATGCAAAGCAGGGGTGAATCCCTAGCAAATGTCTTGCCCAGTGGGTTTTAGATATTTGAAACACACATTACTAAAAAGTAATTATATTTGAGACAGTGTTTATTATTTTTTTCTGTGAGTCAAAATCTAGTTCTTTGCATCATCTAACCATTAATCTCACTTTTGCCCTCCAGTTTTCTGTTATCTAAGTTTTAAGTCTTTATTTATAGGCAGCCTTTCACTTTTAATTCACTTGATATTTTTTGAGTAGTGACTTTGTATTAGACATATTTTGCTGGGAACTGTTTGCTACTACTATCTTTGCAGAGCTTATTGACACCCTGTTTTATTGCCTTACCTCTGGGTCTAACCACCTTTCTTTGGAGTTAGCCACCTGATGTGTAGTCACAACTTATTACCTTTATTTACTTGGCTAGAATCAGTGGGAGGAACAATAGGTCAGCAAAAATCAAAAGTTCATCTTTGCTTTTTTTTTTTTAAAAAGTATAGATCAGATTCCTCCCTTTTAGGACCGCAGTTCTTTATCTGGGGCATGGTCCCCTCATAAACTTCTTTTCCCCAGGTAGAAACTGAGAACTCCGTGACTCCCTATAATTGCTGCTTGCCAGATTCCAGCTCCTGGTTCTTCTCCAGAGCCATCACATAGTTTAGCCTGTGTTCTCTCCCTGATAGACCTCTCTCTTTGCAAGGTCTGTGCAACTTATATGTGGTAACATCAAAATTAACCTAGAATGTTGGATATGATTTTGGTCAAGAGGTGATAACAAGTAGTTTATTCCAGGGCTCAGAGTGCTGTGGACAAAGCAGTCAAGGCAAGAGGACCCATGGCACATTTGGACAACAGTTTATCTCTTTGGCAGTGGGGGGTATCTATTGAGGGTTTCAGCAGGGTCTTTGTCACATGAATTTTGGGGAGTGAGGGTGTTACTGGGGACTGAACCCAGGGCCTTGTGCATGCTAACCACAGGTTCTACCTCTGTGCTACATATCCAGGCTCTCACGTCAACTTTTTTGTCTCTCTTGTAATTAGTTCAGTGATTTTTCTGGCTATTTGCAGAATTTAATTTTTTTTAATTCTTATTAATTTTTTGTCTTCTTTCCAGCTTATGAGAATCCTTAAAATCTTGACCTGCTGTTAATAACATTTTGTGTCACCTAAATGTAATGATTAAGACATAATTTTTTGCATGACCAATGTGATTCTGCAACCTGTACACTCAGAAAAATGAGAAATTATACCCCATCTGATTCAAATGTATGATATGTCAAGATCATTGTACTGTCATGTGTAACTAATTTTAAAAAAAGACATAATTTTTTTATGGAAACTTTAGCAAAACATCTTGTTAAGATTATTACATTAGTTAAATCATATTAAATTCCAGTTTTTAGTCATTTTGAATTACTGAAAAATATCAATTTCAAATGATTCAGTCTTATTGTTTTTGTGGAAGTGCGAGACGTGGTTATACTGATTGTAATAACTCTGGTAAAGAAAATCTGTTTGCAACTGTCTTTAGAGAGCCAATTCCTCTCTTAAGTGCTTCCACTAATCACTGGTTTAAACAAATCAATGCTAATGTATTACTAGGTATCAGTTGGGGGCTTTCTGTGTTCTGTTGTGGATGTTGATAATAGTGGAGAATTAAATAATTAAGTAACTGCTAGGAAGTGAATTTGAAGAAACCTTAAAAAGTATTTGGCAAAATGAGTTTAGGAGCTCGTAACTAACAAATGGCTTGTTTCCCTTTGTATCTTAGATGTCTTATTAGTTTATTATTTCTTTTTCATTGTCAAGTAATACATTTTGAAACCTGTTTTTTTTTTCTATTTGAACTTTACAACAGTCCTTCTAGTCCATAGATGTATTTTTAAATATTCCACTGATATTTCCCTCTACTGTGCTACTGTTTATTCTGTGATCCTACGTTTCATACTTTGATTTCTCACTTTCTTACCCAAAGGCTTAGCGCTCTGTCCAGTGAGTTAAAACAATACACTTATGGAAGATTTAAAACAAAAAAAGTTATTTTGAATTAAAGGGTAACTGTTTAAAAAAAATCACTTTAATATGAGTGATTCTTGAAGACATACATTTCCTTATCCAAAATTTTTTTTTAAAAAACAACCTAAGTATAAAATATTAGACTATGACTAAACTTTTAAAAACTTAACATTAAAAACTATAATTTTGTTTTATATACATATTTATTGATTTATATTTGAAAGTTTGGACATCATATACAGTTCAAAGCAGAACATAATGCAGTTTTACTCTACATAAGAGTAAATATTTTGAAAAGACTGTCCCTATCAACAATAACCAGCTCAAGTTTGGGAACCTTAACACTGAAATGTCTAAGCTTTCAATAAGCTTATCTGATGAAGGTACTTCCTAACTATTCATTGGAATAAGCTGTAGATTTGTTTTTTAATTATTTTTCAGTTGTAGTTGGACACAATACCTTTATTTTATTGTATTTATTTATTTTTACGTGGTGCTGAGGATTGAACCCAGGGCCTCGCACATGTGAGGTGAGCACTCTACCACTGAGCCAAAACCCAGCCCCTTTAGATTTTTTTCTTAATGTGCATTATTATAAAGTCAGGAGAAAAGTTGATCCTGTTTCATTTTTAGCAGAGATGGTTTTCAAAGTCAAGATTTAGTTTTACTTTTAAAATCTTATATCATTCTTTTCATTTATATTCTTCATTACTTTTTCCCAGGTTCGTTTTTTTTAGTTTTGCTACTTCCATCTTCCTCTTTTATAAACTACCTAGTTATTATATTTCACGGTGCATTGATTAAAGCATAATTTTGATTATGTATCTGCTCACCAGCCTTCTTCATTGGTTTCAACACTATAAATTCATTTATCCTCATTTGTCTCAACATTCCCTACGTATGATTTAGGGAGAATCAATATTTTGAAAAAAAGTCATCCATATAGATTAAATGTGGTATGACAAACACTAAGCCATTTAAATGAGAGAAAAATCCAGCATTTTTTTTTCAGGATATACATTTGATAAAGAAGTTTTAATAAAACAGTAATATGTGTAGTTTTCTAAAATTTCTTACGGTTTTATTTGTTTATGTTTTCAATGTCTTATCCTTTTTTGTGGCTTTTTAAGCTTATGAAAAAGAACATTAGTTTGACTACAATGATAAAAACAGACTTTCAGTTATAGACTGCATACAAATGGAACAGAGGAGTTGCCACTTTGTTATCCAAGTTTCTATCTTAGTATCAAGCCTTGTGATACATAACAGAGAAAAGCTGATTTCTAAAATGTGACCTTAACAACTCTAATTTCTTAGCTTTAGAATATATGAAACATTATATTATAAATAAATGTATAATGTTGGCTATTAATTATATATTAATAATTTGTTTCTAGAACCTTCCTTCTGGATCATCACGTGTCGGAGCCATTAAACTTACCTATATTTCAAAGGTAATCTTTATACTTTGTTTTACTTTCATATGTGAACTAAAATTCCTCCTAGTGCAAGTGTGAACAAAAGCAGCAGTTTCTATTCATTTAAAGGGTATATCACTCTGAAAACAGTACCTGATTACTACAGGTAGGAAGATCCTTAAATTGACAAAATTGGGAAGAAAATAAATTCAATCTTCAGGATGTGATGAATTACAAAAGTTAATACTAATGTTTGTGGTCAGATGCTTGAACATCAGAATGAGAAAAATCAGTTAACTATTTTGAGAAGATCTGGAGAAGAGTTTTCTAAATGTGTGGTTGTTTTTTGTTGCTATTTTGTTTTCTTGTAGTGCTGGGGAGCTCAGGGGTGCTCTACCATATCCAGAGCCTTTTTAAAATTTTATTTTGAGGCAGGGCCTCGCTACGTTGCTGAATCTGGCCTGGAACTTGAGATCTTCCTGCCTCAATAGCCACCGTATCTAGCTCCTTTATTCTTTTTAATTTTGTTTTAATCATTACTTTATTGCAAGATAATGGATTAATTTTAAATTTAAATTGTAACTTGGTAATCTTTCACCAGGCAATATGTTTTAATAAAAGCAAACCAATTTTTAAAAAGCAATCAAAGAACAACTCAAAATGCAGAATAATGATGAGAAATATTTGGCCAACAGATTTAGCTGTCTCACTAAAAGAAACTTGAACTTTTCTTTTTTAGAAAAAATAAACTGTAATTTCAGTAGATAGCAGTAGAGAAAGATTTTGTCCCGTAGAATAGTTTTCATTTACCCAGTCAGTTGTGTATAGCTGTCTCAACTGGGACAGATACATTTACATAACCGGCTTTGCTTGAGCCTTCTTTCAAGCAGCTGGAGATCTGTAATGCACTTGGCAGTCGCTTCATTTTCCTGCTGTGCAGAGATGCTCTTGTACACAAGCTTCTCCACCCAGTTTATCATGTGTTCCTGTTCCTTTCGATGCATCATATTCTGCACAGAGATATGATAATCCAGGCAATTCTTTACCTCCCTCCAAGGCCATAGCAATGTTATTCCCCTGGACATCAAAAAGATAGTGGTGCTTCTGAACCAGTGCCTGCTTTGACTTCTCCAACTCAATTGGAAAATTCTCCTGGATATGTTTGATGGAAGCCTTCAACTCTTCTAGTTGGGCAATTTTTTGTTCATTATCAATAAATTCTCCAGTAGAGGCACCATATTTTTTAATTACATAGACGAGTAACCCCACTATTGATATGGGAGAGAAGGTCTCTGGGGTAATAATCACATCTATTTCTCTGGATATAAAATATAAGATAAGCCCAGTTCCAAGCATGGAGGGTCCTGTTACTCCAGTTTTAGGATAAAGAAACTGGAAGAATTCCTCAGGGATCAGCCCAAGATGAACTTTTCCTCCATATCCAGGAAGAGGTGGTAGAGGGGCAAGATGTGACTGCCCAGTATGAAAGATCCTTGTTGCCTGCAATATCCCGGTCCTAGGAAGGTTGCATTCCTGAGACAGGGCCGCTTTGGCGGCAGCAAAAAGTACCACCAGGAGACCATGGTCAGCAAATGTCCAGGTAGCAGGCTTAGTGTCCCTGTGACTCCGACCAGAGACTGTAGGGACCCCAGCTCCTTTGTTTTTGACATTATGTTTATGTTTTATTTTGAGGAAAATGTGGACTATCTTCACGTTGAAAGGATGATTTTTATTCCTTCTTTTTACTTTGTTTCTATTAGTTTCTGTTTTCTTTTTTATTTGTTTTTCTGGTGCTCTTATAGTACTATTTTTCTATTATTTTCAAAAATAGAGATTTTATATTGATCAGATAGCTGTTTCCCTTTTCTTTAATTAGTGTTTTAGAAAGAGACATGGAGGTGCTAGTGTGTGATTGTTTTGTTTTACACAAAAGCCATAAGAAGTTTGTTGGTAAAGTATGAGATGCGAAAGGTATCACACAGTGCTGTTAAATAATGTACACTGATACACATACTGTGATTATTGGCAAAGATGGATCATTTCAATAGAATATTGATTATAGATGGGCCTCTGTTCAGAAGACAGATACTTTTTTAAATAAAAGACTTCATCAGTATTACAATAAAGCTATTCATTCTCATTGAAAAAACATATTTTTCTTAAAAAATATTTTTTAATTGTAAATGGATCTTTTATTCTATTTATTTATTCATTTATATGCGGTGCTGAGGATCAGACCCAGGGCCTCACACATGCCAGACAAGTGCTCTACCACTGAGCCATAACTCCAGCCCCGACAAAACATATTTATTAGCCTTCAGACAACAAAGAGGCTGAGGCAGAAGGATCACAAGTTCAAAGCCAGCCTCAGCAAAAGTGAGGTGCTAAGCAACTCAATGAGACCCTGTGTCTAAATAACATACAAAATAGAGGGATGTGGCTCAGTGGTTGAGTGCCCCTGAGTTCAATCCCTGGTACTAAAATAATAATATTAATAACAACAACAACAACAACAGTAACAACAACCTCTTCTCTGTGCAGTTCTGACTTTCTGTCTGTCCTACGGCTTACTGAAGTTTGAGATTTACAGTTTGTACTTTAGTTTAGACATTTCAACTTATTTACCCAGAATTTATTCCCGGAACAAAGTTCAGTGTGACGCAGCTGTGAATTTGTAGTTGGGATCAGAATTCCTTTTGAAGGTACAAAATAGATGCCACAATTATGAGTTCTTCCTCTCGGCAACAGCATAGTGATAGTCATGCATGGGATTCTGAGAGCTTCTTATTTGGGGATAGCAGCAACCAGGTGTAGCTAGTTGCTTCACTTTCTAAAAGGAACCTTGTGCTGCACTTAAGTAAGTGGCCCCATTACCCTCTATTCTCCTGTAAAAGTGGGGATTAAGTACCTTGTTAATTTCTCATAGCATATTAATGCCTTCTGGATTTGGGGACTTCAAATACACAGTCTTCCCCTTGCCCACCCCCATTTCACTTAGAGTTCACAGCTGATTTTGAAACATGACATTTGAGAACAATTCAGAGCTTATAGATTATTCATTGAGGGAGTTTTAAAGATGATGTTAAATGAAAAATATTTATGTGTGTGACAAAGCCTACTGTTTTACTTTCAACTTCTTCATATTTCCTTCAAAGAAAAAAACAAGGTTTTTCAAAGAAAGCATGGAAGTACCATTTGTTTTAAACATTACATGTGAAACTCAGATTCTATACTTAATTGCTGCTGTTTTTCAGTTGCCTTTGAAGTTTAATTTCAGATTTATATGATAAGTGTTCATCATTGTTGGGAAAGTATACATGTGAGAGTTTATATGATATTTGAGTTTGGTTAGAGTAGTGTTGAAGAATTGAATAACGCATCTCTCTCTTTCTTGTTAGGTTAGCGATGCAACTAAGCTAAGGCCAAAGGCTGAGTTCTGTTTTGGTAAGTAGCCATATTTTATGTTACTTACTTTAAATTAGATTGATATAATTAATTCCATCAGAGTAAAAGAAAACAGTCACAGAAAACACAGAGAGTAAACCTGTGGCTTAAAGAGTTATTTTAAGACAAATTTCTTTGCAGTCACCATCCAGGTAAGTCAATAAAACTTTGTCCCAATCCCCAAACCCAAAACTTCTTTCTGTGCCCTATCCTAGTCACAGCCTCCTCCCTGCACCCATGTTATCTTGACGTTTATAATAATCACCTTCAGTGAGATTTTAGGTAATTTTTAATTTTATACCTAGTATTATTCCATATTATTAAACACGTAAATAATGAAAAAGATTTGGTTTTGAGTTTGTCAGTTAGGAGAAATTTATAGTTTGGAGGCAGGAGTAGTTGAGGTTATTAGATTGCCTTGTTGAGCAGATATTTAGTGACTACCTTGTTTGTGGCAGACACTGTGCTTACATTGGGATGATGAGGTGAACAGGAGCAGTTGCTGCCTCTAAGGCTCTCAGAGGCTGGTTGTCTCACATGCAGACACAATGTTAGGTTATTATCATTACATTTATCAAAATACATAAAGGGGGGTATAGTCTATTAAAGGAAGAACCAAGAAAGAACTCCACACCTTCATAGGGGACCTCAGGAGTCAGGGGAACCACACTGGATGAAGTGCTGAGTTTGAGGCCAAGTAAACTCCTGATCATCCTTTACATTGGGGAGAAAGGTAGGAGGACCACATGGGCAGAGGTGTGCCAGGTAGAATATGGTGTGTGTGGGCTGAGCACTTGGTGAAGCTGGGGGCAGTCGTGAGAGGCTGGAGTAAAAAGGCAGGCATAAGTCTGCATGGGGTGGGTTGACAAGTGACCACATATAAATAAATAAAATAAAGTCATTGTGTCCATGTACAACTAAAGAAAAAAAATTTTTTTAAATAATAAGATTTTTAAAAAAAAAGGAAAAAAGGAAGAGAGAAAGTGAAGAGCATATGGAAGCAACCCATAGGTGAAGTAGCTTGGTTTGGGAGAGCCTTGATGCATATTGGTTCAGTCGCATTTAAATTGCTGTACTTAAGGGCCTGAATTACCATGGTACCAATGGGAGAAAGAAGAAGGTTGGAAAAACATTTGAAGTCCCCAAAACTTGGATGCTGGATGTACGGGAGCTGAAGGGAAGAGAGAAATAGCAAGGAAATTTATGTTAAGAAATGAGGGGGCTGGGGATGTGGCTCAAGCGGTAGCGCGCTCGCCTGGCATGTGTGCGGCCCGGGTTCGATCCTCAGCACCACATACAAACAAAGATGTTGTGTTGGCCCAAAACTAAAAAATAAATATTAAAAAAAAATTCTCTCTCTAAAAAAAAAAAAAAAAAAAAATGAGGGAGCCAGGCATTGTGGCGCACGACTATAATCCCAGCAACTTGGGAGGCTGAGACAGGAGTATCACAAGCAAAGCCAGCCTCAGCAATGACAAGAAGCTAAGCAACTCAGTGAGACCCTGTCTCTAAATAAAATTGAAGATAGGGCTGGGGATGTGGCTTAGTGGTTGAGTGCCCCTGAGTTTAATTCCTAGTACCCCAAAAAAGAAAAGAAAAAAAAAAGGAATTGAGGAGATCTGATGCGACAAGGCAAAATGTTTGGTAGGAGGTTGAAGGGGTGAGGGAACTTTCAAGTGGAAATCTTCTGGTGGCAATAACTGATAACTGGCTAAAACTGGAAGATTAAGAATGGAGAAGGTCTAGGGGTAAGCACCACCAAAAAACAAACCAACCAACCATGAATGGAGAACTGGAGAGGGAGATGGTTGAAGCTGGGAGAATTAATATTCTCTCAGAGAATATCCTAGTGGACACTGGTAGTGGGAGAGACAGAAATTAGGAATGGCCAGCTGACATAAAGAGAGACTATTTACATTGTTGTAAAAAAAGTTACTTTGGGAGGCAGAGTTAATGTTACAATTCTTTGCTCTCTCTTACTTGCAAAGGGCAACTTTCTTTGGCAGGCCATAAATTAGGAATAGCATCTGATGGTAATCATATATCCAATAAGAAAATATGATAGGAGCAGGATGGAATACAGCAGTTGGAAAAGTAGCTATGAAGCTATTGCATGGTGGTGCAGGCCTGTAATCCCAGCAGCTCAGTAGGCTGAGGCAGGAGGATTGCAAGTGCAAAACCAGCTTCAGCAAAAGGTGAGGCCCTAAGCAAATCAGTGAGACTATGTTTCTAAATAAAATACAAATAGGGCTGGGGATGTGGCTTAATGGTTTAATCCCCAGTCAACCCCCTAAAAAAAAAAATAACGTATTTACTACAAATTATACTATTGGTTATTAAATAAGAACATACCTAGGAGCCTTACAAATGATGGCTATTGGGGGCAAGTCAAGTAAGAATTTTGTATTTTAGAATATTTAAAGAATATACTTTTTGACAAATCTTTATTTGTAAAATTTCAAACTTAGAGTTTGAAGGAATAGTATAAAGTAATAAATTTGACATTCATAATTTTGGGATATTTAAAATAGATGATTTATTTGGAATCAAAGATTAAGATTAATCACTTACTGGTCTCTCTATAGTTAGTTTATTATTAGTCTTCTATTGCAGTAGAGAAATGAGTCATAAAATGCTTACTTTCAGAGAGAGAGAAAGAGAGAGAGAGAGAGAGACAGACACTGGCTTCTAAAATGAACCACAATTTCCATTTCAAGTTGCAACCTAATCTGACAAATTGCTCCAGAACAGTGGGGACAAGAAACACTCAAACCTCTAATAGACATGTATGAACCTCACTGTATAAAGATAGAAGGAAGATAGAGGAATAACAGGTACCTAGGCAGCTTAGAGGAAGAGGCCAATGAAGAGCTAACCATTTTGGGTCCTTCCCTACCCTGACTCTAGACCTGGAAATTTTCTTAGAAGAGTCAGCAGCCCCATAATCCAAGAGAGTTCACACGGGTTTTTTTTTCCCAAAAAAATTCTTCCCATATTATTATATATATATTTTTTAGATACCTTTATAGTTATACATAGTAGTTGGGTTCTAGTCAGTCTTTTTAACACCTCTTTTTAAAACATGAATAGATAGCCCAGAATTACTTAATATTTAAGGAGAATTATCAAATAGGAAAAGAGACATGAGACAATGCCAAACTCACGTGAAAAATAAAAAAAAAAATCTAAAGGTAGGACAAAGGTAAAGAGGTAAGAGGAGAGAATTAAGAAAATTAGACACACTCTCAAGGAAGTCCAGCATCTAAGAGAGGAGAGGGCAGAAAAAGAATAGATTAGGGGAACCTGACAAAGAATGAGATAACGTGTTTTATCATCACTTAATATGTAACCACAGTTGAGCCATAGTCAGTGCTGGGTTGTGAGATGATTTGTGTTTGCAGTTAAGCTAATGTTTATGCTTTAGTTTTTATTTCATTTATTTTATTTATTTGGATGGTAAAGATTTGGAATAAAGTTGTCCAGGGAAAAGGCAGGAAGCACTCAAGCCTTGGGCACATTCATTGTTCATTGAGCTTAAAAAGATGACAACATAGAGATGTCCTAGTTTTTTTTTTTTTTTTTTTTTTTTTTTTTTAATTCAGAGTCTCTTTCCCTGTTTCCTCTTGCCTCTGATATTGCAAATATACCGCTTTTCAGTAATTTGCTTTATATTTTCCACAATATTTCCATAGTTCGTGAAATCTCTGAGGATGATGATGGAGAATAATATTCTGTCCCAGGCACTATGCTAGGTTTTTGCATGTATCATTTCTACCTCTCAAGGAAGGGGTAGTTGGCATTTCTGTTTCACAGATGTAGAAAATAGGGCTTAGCAGTCAAATGATGTTTATGGGATGATTCTGCTTGTAAGAGCATCAGCCAGTCAGGTCTGACTGATTTCCAGGCTCTGATTTATTTATTTTTTCTACAGCAGATCACTGTGCCTCTCTTGCTGTGATATAATAAAAGTATGTGAGTTTTTATTCAGACTTCAAGGTGTGCCAGAAGTCTTTTAAGAGATTTAGCAGCCTCCCTTCCTTCTCTTAGAAGAGGTTTTTCTAGAAATGTTATTCATTCAGAAATGTGTGTATTAAACACTGACATTGTACCAGGTGTAGTATATTAATTACTGTTGAGATTTTCAAACTCTCAGCATTCTGAGTGGATGCCCAAACAACACTGAGCTGGGAGAAACCATCGTGAGGGCTGAGTCTCAGCCCAAGCTGTGAAAGAGTCTGAAAGCATACTGTATTGACAGCTGAGAGTTAAAAAACACAAGTTGTATATTGACATATATGATGTTCTTGCTAAACATATGTAACTCACTAGTTTATCTTAAAATTTTCTTTATGGTATTTATCATTTCTCCAGTCTTTAGAAGAATATAAAGGAACAATTTACAGTGTGTTAATATTTAGTTTCCAGACTAGTTGTTCAGTGGCACTTCATGAACATTTTTATTTCCTTTCTGAGACCCTCACCTTAATCAAGGAAGCTCTGGTTTGGTTCCAGTCCCAATTTCAAAATCTTGTGTGTTGGTAACTTTTTTTCCCTTGAGGGTTTTCATTTCTTCCTTAGTCTTATTCAGCTGGATGCTAGTACATCATTTCAAGTTTTGGTGCAGACTTTTGAAAGTTATTTTTATATTTTAACAACAGTGTAGCTATTCACATGCAGTGTAACACATTGCAACAGTGTAGCTATTCACATGCTTTAGCTTCTGTAATAATATTTATGTTTTTAAATATAAATCCACATTTTATATAATAAATAGCTTTAATTCAGAAACTATCTTTGTAGCCAGCTATATATGCAGATGTACTTTGCTTTATAAATAGCCCCAGTCCCTATGTATATGTAAATTGCGTTAGAGGCTCCAAATATATGAAAAATTTAAATGTAAAGAAAACTCCTAAGGGCTTGAAAAATGAAGGTCTTTATTTTTCTAATCTTTTTTTTTTATTTTAATTTTAATTTGTTCTTTTTAGTTATACATGACACTAGAGACTATTTTGACATTTATGCAAACTTGGAGTATATCTTATTCTAATTTGGATCCCAGTCTTTATTTTTCTAATTCTAAGTAAGGGAAGTTCTCTAAATACATGAAATGTAGAGGCATTAAAGGAAAAAATTGGTAGAATATTTCTGTTTGATCAAAAAATACCATGAACAAAGTGAAAAGTCAAAATGACAGACTAGGGGAAGTACTTCATGAAACAGAAAGGGTGGATGATAAACAAACAACTCAGGAGAAATATGAGTAAAGCTCATGGAACAAGTACAGATGACTAATAAATGTGCCAAAGTAATTTGTCACAATAATTAAAGAAATTCAAATATAAACAAGGTATAATTATCCACTGATTAGGTTTTAAAGATTTCTCTATCAAAGTCCAGTCAAGAAAACATAAGTCTCAGGGGATTTAAATTATTATAGGTAATTGGTTACTTAAATGTTGAAAGAACATAAAGGGAATGTTGAAGTCACCCACAAATTAGAAAATGTGTGAAGCAGTCTACCCCAGGACCAGAGAGACAAAAATGAAAAGGTAGACTATCATCTAGGATTTGGAGAAGCAACCACTAGGGAGCTGCCAGGGCTCCTGAGGTGCCTGAGGGCACCCTGCCAGGATGGTGTAGGGAGCACCAGAAGGTCCTGGAACAGTAGCTAGTTGTATGCTGCTGTTGGTGGGAGGTCAGGAGCAGAGTAGTCAAGAGTATCCACTCTCATCCTCCTCCCTACACCTTTCAGGCTTCTACTAGTACCTCCCATGGGCAGAACATGACCCTGTTTGTAAGGAAGCCTAGGAAGTTACTTTGTGCAGACTTCAGCCCTAATGTTACATAGCCCTGGGGCTGAAAACAGTAGGTCTGTAACTAGCACAGGTACTAATGACCAGTTCTGGTGAGGAGGAATAAGTGAAAGGAATAAGTAAGTATAAATGGATTCAGCCTTTTTACAAGACAATAACTAATACCTATTAAAAAATTTAAGTGAATTCCCTGTGACCAGCAAGTCTGTGTCAAGAAATCTCATAGAAATACTAGTCCAAATATGGAGAAAGATATGATGGGTTTTTTTTTTTAATTTTTTTATTAGTTGTTCAAAACATTACAATGATCTTGACATATCATACATTTGATTCAAATGGGTTACGTAATCTTAATCTTATTTTTCCACGTATACAGATTGCAGGATCACATTGGTTATACAGCTGTGTTTATACATAGGGCCATGTAGTGTCTATTGTATTGTGCTGCCCTTCCTATCCCCCCCTCCCCTCCCCTCTTTCTACCCAATCTACTGTGACACGTTTCTCTCTCTTTTTTCTTTCCCCCCCACACCATCTTATATGTAATTTTGCATAACAATGAAGGTCTCCTACCATCTTCCGTGCAATTCCCCTTCTCTCTCCCATTCCCACGCACCTCTCCTCCCTATTTAATGGTAATCTTCTTCTCATGCTCTTCCTCCCTGCTGTGTTTTGAGTCGCCCCCCCCCTTATATCAAAGAAGACATTCTGCATTTGTTTTTTAGGGATTGGCTAGCTTCACTTAGCATAATCTGCTCTAATGCCATCCGTTTCCCTGCAAATGCCATGATTTTGTTGTTTTTTAGTGCTGATGTTTTGTTTTGATATTTTATCTAATTTAAAAAATTGGAGATATCCTGAGTGTCTATTGTTGGGGGATTGACGCACTGTATTGTGGTATATCCATTTAATGAAAAATGTGCCCATCAAAGAATTTTCCCTATGTAATTGGGTTATTTTATATAGGCAAATATATTTTGTCAAATCCAAGAAAGTCTCAAAGTGTTGAATCTAGCAAGATTTTTTAGCTGCTGTGAACAAGTTTAGAGGTAACAAGTATAATATTTTATGTTTATTTTTCCTTCCAACAGTTATGAATGCAGGAATGAGAAAATATTTCCTACAAGCCAACGATCAGCAAGATCTAGTAGAATGGGTAAATGTGTTGAACAAAGCTATAAAAATCACAGTAAGTATTTGGATTTTTTTTTTTTTTTTTTTTTAACAATTTTGAGTGTCTGGAAGTAATCTTAACATTTTGAAAATGTACCTACCAAATGTCCCCAGCTTTCTGTCAGGTCACATACTTGAGCTTTGTTTAAAAGACAGATGTTCAGAATGTGAAATAGTTCTCTTGTACCTGGTGACCATCAGACATTTTATCAGCCCACAAATGCATTTCACCCATTATGTACCAATAAGGATATATATTATTGGAGATTTTAACCACTTCTTATGTTGCTGGGGGAAATACATGTAGCATGTAGAGTTCTATCTTGAGGGCATGTCATTTTTTCTTCCAGAGTAGAAGAGGCTTTCTGCCGGGTATGTACCCAGGTGATGGTAATAGGCCTAAGCCCCGATAGGGCAGGAGTTGAAGATGGGAGCAAAACAAAGGGAAATGAAGGCTAAGAAATGAGGTACAATATAGGGATCCAGTGGGAAGATTGTGGCAGCTGGATGGTTCTGCCCAGGTGGCCCTAAGGAGTTGACCTTAGGCACTAGCTTTCTAACCTCTCCTGTGCCTTTTCCTTGAGTTCCAGAGCTTGGTACTCTTTGGACCTTCCTCTACTCCTACAACCTCTTTGCTTCTGACATGAGCTTTTTTTTTCTGTTGAACATTAATATTTATTGATTATTTATACTATGACAGGCGTTGAACTGAAGGTTTTACCTAAAAACCGAGGCTTAGAAAGATCGAGTGACTTGTACAGTTTTCAGAACTGGTGAACTGTGGGACTGGGAGCCCGGGGATGGTCTATCAGGTTTTGGAGCTTAGCTAGCTCTGAAGTGCACTGAACAAGAGCCTATCCTGATGTTTTATTTTACTACTGATGCTGATGGGCAGGAGCATAGGGTGTACTCCTGACTGAGCCTTGCTGCACCTTCTACACTAACAGAGAAACACATTGTAGGCTGCCTGGAAAGGCTTGGGAAGGAGTTCCTGTGAGGATTGTGTCAGCTGAAGGGTGTTTTTTTTGTTGTTTGTTTGTTTGTTTTTTTAAGTTGTAGTTGGACACAATACCTTTCTTTTATTAATTTATTTTATGTGGTGCTGAGGATGGAACCCAGTGCCTTGCACATGCCAAGCAAGTGCTCTACCGCTGAGCCACAACCTCAGCCCCTAAAGGGTGTTTTAATTGTGAGGTTATTTACTGGCTCTAAACAACTTGCTCTTAAAGAACAAAAGCCCAAAAAGTCAGCTTGTTAGTCACTTGTTAGATTCCTTCTAAAATGAATGATCCCACATTTACATTACAGCAGAAGGAGTTACTGTAGCTAAAGCTGTTTACACAGGTGGATTGAATTTTTTGTCTTCAGAACAGTCGGTTACCACATGATGGAACATTAAGTTATTTTGGGTTTGCAGTTTTAGGAAAGGAATATTTTGAACTGATTCAAAAGTATGTATATATTTTTAAAATATTTATTTTTTAGTTGTAGGTGGTCACAATATCTTTATTTCATTTTTATGTGGTGCTGAGGTTTGAACCCAGTGCCTCACAAGTTCTAGGCGAGCACTCTACCACTGAGCAACAACCCCAGTCCCAGAAGTATATATTCTTAAAAAGTTTTCATTGATCATTTTTTCAGTAGATACTCTCTACTTGAAAAATAAAGACAAGGGGCTGGGGTTGTGGCTCAGAGGAGAGCGCTTGCCTAGCCTGCATGAGACACTGGATTCGATCCTCGGCACCACATAAAAATTAAATAAAGATATTGTGTCCACCTATAACTAAAAAAAAAAAAAAAACAATATGTGGTATCTTTCCTGAATTATTTTTTTTACAATTTACAGTAATAAGCATCCATCTTTTTAATGTTTTAAAATGTGGATTTTTAATTAGCTTTTGTGGTTTTGCAGCTTTATTTCATGTTGAAATTTTTAGTTTTTTTATTGATGTTTTATAATTGTGCATAATATTCAGATTCATTGTAACATTTGTACATGTACATAACATAATTTGATCAATTTCATTCCTTGGTACATCCCCTAAAATTTTTAATTTTTGAGGTAAATTTGTTAGTAATGGTTTTTATGATTCACATTTAGGAAATATAGAAATCCTTGACTCAGCTGGGTAAGGTGGCACACACCTATAATTCCAGCAGATTGGGAGTCTGAGGCAGGAAGACTGAAAGTTCAGTCAGCCTCAGCAGTGGCAAGGTGCTAAGCAGCTGAGTGAGACCCTGTCTCTAAATAAAACACAAAACATGGCGGGGGATGTGGCTCAGTAGTTGAGCGTTCCTGAGTTAAGTTGCCAAGGCAAGTTTTGATCCTCCTGCCTTCCTTGGCCTCCCAAGTAGCTAAACCTGGGAGTACAGGTGTGTGCCACCATGCTCAGCTCTACTATAGATTTAATTTAAAAGTCAATTTTAATGTAAAAATTAATCTTTTCGGTTGTGTTACAAACTCAAATTTGACTTTTTTTTTTTTAATGGCCACTGAGAGCAAGTTGAAGTGTGAACTGAGTATAAGACTTTGGTTCTAACAAAACGGTATATGTGCCCAAGAGTGTTAGCTGGGCCTTCTGTTTTAAAGTAATATTTTTAACTGGCATGTCAGGTGGAGAGCACTGCCTCTAAATAAAATACAAAATATGGCTGGGGAGGTCCAGGAATTTGTGTCTGAACCTTTCAGGTTTTAGCTTCAAGTACTGTCTAATTAGTAAATTGAACATCAACCTTCCCTTTAACTCTAAGAAATAAATAGCATTTCCATTTATTTCCGTCATAAATAACAAAGTCTGTTTTATTCATCTCTTTACTCTCTAATTATTTTTACCTTTTCTTTTTTTTTTTAATATTTATTGTTTTTTTAGTTTTCGGAGGACACAACAACATCTTTGTTTGTATGTGGTGCTGAGGATCCAACCCGGGCCACACACATGCCAGGCGAGCGTGCTACTGCTTGAGCCACATCCCCAGCCCCAAATTATTTTTACCTTTTCTTTTCCTACTATTGGAATTTTTAACATTAGATTCATAAGGAAATACATGCTAAAATGCATCCAAATCTCACATGAAAAACAATCATGTTTTTAAAAAAAGAAAGAAAGCAGGGAAAGGCAATAGTCGGACCAGACCTGCTTAGTGTCTGACACTTGCTCTCACCCTCCCCTGTGAGACCACATTTCTGATTCTCATTAACAGTTGACTTATTTGGAAACTTGTGGCTTAGGGTTCTTGAAAATGTAGCTTAATGGCTGAATTTAGACTAACTTTTCATTCAGAGTACCTAAATTTAAAAAAAAAAATTAATTGAAAATGTATTTAATTAATTGTGTGTGTGTGTGTGTGTGAGAGAGAGAGAGAGAGAGAGAGAGATACATTGAAGGTTGATTCTAGGGTTTTGTGTATTTAAGGCAAGTACAGTACTACTGGGCCACTTTCCAAAGCCTAAGTACCTATAATTTTTAAGGGAGTTACATATATTTATGGATATTTGGCTTGTATTGTTCTTAAGATAATAAGGTAACTATAAGTTAGGTAGTTTTTGTTACAAAATGCAATTCTGAGTTAATTATTAGACTTGAACATTGGAGTTATGCTATGTTTAACTTTTGATTTTATTATAGGGACAAATTGGAAGCAGTTGGTTTAACAGCATAAGGAAGGATTTTGTGGGGAGGGTACCAGGGATTGAACTCAGGGGCACTCAACCACTGAGCCATATCCCCAGCCATATTTTGTATTTTATTTAGAGGCAAAGTCTCACTGAGTTGCCTCAGTGCCTTGCTTTTGCTGAGGCTGATTTTGAACTCAAATGATCCTCCTGCCTCAGCCTCCTGAGCTGCTGTATTACAGGTGTGTGCCACTGTGCCCAGCTGAGGATTTTTAATATACTATAATTTTGGAAGAAAAATGGAAAACCTAATATAAATTTCAGTAGATTTTTGAGTTACACTAAAGATTTTTCTTAGGAAATTACCATATACAGCTGAACTCTCAACTTCTTGTAAAAAGGAGAAGCTACTACTTTTTTTATAAGTCTCCTCTTGACAGCACATCTCATCTAATGTAGTTAAAGAGATCATTTTCTCTCTGGTTTCAAATTCTCTTTATGGTGTTTTTGTTTTTTAGTAAGATAAAAGGCGACATTTTCACTGTCAAAATCATTTAGATACATGATGCTGTTTATTAGAAAAGTGTATGTTTCCTCAGCAGGTTGTTCTAGGGCATGATGTTCTATTTTTCGTTGGCAGCTAAAATTCTGTGTACTCCTGTGGTGCCTTTTAAGCAGTCTAAAATGTATAGAACTTGAGGTATCCAGGATTCACTTTCTGATCTTCCTTTACTGTTTCTCTTTTTCTCCTTTGTTTCTGCCAGTGACTGGCATTGTAATATAAGTTCACATCAGAAGCTGAAGGATTGGGCCCAAAGACTGAGTGGAAGCATCACCAGGGAGGCAGGGTGGAAGGGAGAGGTGAAGGAGTTTTAAAGGTCACCTATGAGACAAATCATTTATATCCGTAAACAGTTATGTCCAAGTTTGTGTGGTCTGCTACAGCTCAACATCCTCTCTCACAGGCATGGTCTGTGTTTGCTAATTATTTTGCAAAAAAGCTGCTTTTCTATAAACCTAATGAGAGTGGCATCATATAAAAAGAACACAGGTTTTGGAACAATGTTTTCTTGAACTATGGTTTGTGAAACACATCCCTCAAAAACACTTAGTGTTTTCTCTTACAATATATTGTTTTTGGGATTGCACTCTAGATTTTTTTTTAAATCAGAATTTCTGGATATAAAGCCTGAGGATCTGAATTTGTCAATAATGTTCCTGGGTGATACCTTGAGCACATTTCAGTTTGTGAGAATCCACCCTACCTTGGGATCATACTACTGCATGATTAGGGACTTTGGATACAGCATGAATGGAGTGTCCTTTAGTTCTCTTGGGACTTTGTTAACAGATTAACTATGTAACATTTAATCTTAAATGTTTTTATGCCACTAGTTTTGTGATTTTCAGTAGTATTTATTATAATGTTTCTAAAAGACTGCAAGATCCCCAAATGTCCTTTACATTATGTTAAGTATCATAATTGATGCTGTAGGTTTTACTACATTTTATTCATAGCCTTAAAAATTTATCATTCAAATTCAAACCATAAGCTGGGCGTGGTTGTGTACATATAATCCCAGCAGTTTCCAGAGGGCTGAAGCAGGAGGATTAAAGGTGGGGATGTGGTGCCCAGTGTTCAATTCCCAGAAAAACAAAAAAAAGTTCATACCATGTTTAACAGTCTATAGACAAAAATATTGATTAGCTGAGTATTTTATTTGTGGTCCCTAGTTGGGCCACAAATAAAAGCTAAAGTATATGCTAAATATGATTCCACATCAGTTAGGCATACATGTATGAGATTCTCCTGTTATCACAGTCATTATTTGTTTATACTATGAGTGATTTATCATTGATTTCAGAATTGGAATCTCATCTTTAAATCCCTAATAAGTGTTGTGTTATTTTGAATACCTTGGTTTTTTTTCTATCTTAGGAATTTCGTTCTTTTTTTCCTGCTGATTTTAAATGTGTTTATTGAGTCAGTTTTTCAGCCTTTATTGAATACTTATGTGTTTAGAAATAGATTGGGTCTTGAAGCCATTAAAGATGACTGTGCCACGATCTCTAACCCCCAGACCTTGCGGAATCCTAAGTAGAAATGGAGGAAAGGGAGGGTGGCGGCAAAGATCTACAATCCATGTAAAGTTCTCTATTGAGCAGGGTCCATGATGGTTTGGAAGAGAGTTAAACAGACTTGGCTAGATCTAATACAACCAGGGTCTGAGCCTGTTCCCTAATGCTTCTGGGTCTCTGTTTCTTACTTCTCAAATGGAGATACTGCTTCTTTGCATAGGGTTCACAGAAGGAGTATGAAGAAATGGATCAAGCAGTACCTGTGCCAAGTTAGCACTCAGTATTTGATGGCTGTATTGTAAAGCATTACTAGATCAGAAAATTAATGTGACAACCTATGGGATTGGTACTCACATGTGTGTGCCTATACACTCAGATGTATTTGTCAATTATATATAAATGAACAATTGGAAATTCTTTGAATGTTTCATATAAAACACTGATTACAAACTAACTTTGTTTCAGGTACCAAAGCAATCAGACTCACAGCCTAATTCAGATAATCCAAGTCGCCAGGGTGAATGTGGGAAGAAGCAAGTGTCTTACAGAACTGATATTGTTGGTGGTGTACCCATCATTACTCCAACTCAGGTAATAAATAAATCTTCTATTGTATGAGGGTCTTATTATTCTATTGATTTTTATATTGTCATCAAAACCAAAACAGTGTGCATCTTTACTAAACGAATTCAATACTCAATACTGTAGGAAACTCTTATTTTTGTGTTTCTTAATTCCAAAGTATATGTTTATTACTAAGAAAAATGGAAATCACAGATTAAAATACATAAATTTCATGTTTTTTTCTGAGCCTTCTGTGTACTCCTCCCCATAAATGGAGATGTGAATTATATATTAGATATTTTCCACTTTTATCATGAACATGTTCCAAATCATCTACAGTTACTCTGCTCCCCCCTCCCCCCAGTATTGGTGATTGAACCCAGGGGTGCCCTACCACTGAGCTGTAACCTCAGTCCTTTATTTCAAAATTTTATTTTGAGACCAGGTCTTGTAAAGTTGCTGAGGCTGACCTTGAATTTGCTATCCTCTTACCTCAGCCTCCTGAGTCACTGGGATTATAAGCAACCCACCACTGTGCCCAGCTTTCAATATCATTTTTATTGACTCATAGTAGTTCTGCCATGAATTTACCATAATTTTACAAATACTCTATTGTGGACAAATGGAGTTCTTTTTCCCTTTTCTTTCTTCTTTTATATATAGTGCCATGATGAACATTCTTAAACGAGACATTATTGGTATTTTCTAAAAGATAAGTTCTTGGAAATAAAATTGCTGATTCAAAGAATTTGCAAAAATGTACAGTTTTTAAAACCTGTTTTCCTAAAACCTGTACTAAGTGAACTAAAGAGAGTTCTTGAATACTGATTTTATTGTATCCCAAAAGAATTGACATGCTAGCCTCACTTGGGTACTAAGAAAAATATAAATTTGTAGGCATTTTTTAATGAAATTATTACTTTTTATGAGCTTATATTTCTTGTTTTGCTATTTAGGGAATTAATTTATAATGCAAATTTAATTACTAGTAATTGAGAAACCAGGAATTTTAAAGTAATTATTATTGCCAGTGTTCGTGCATTTTCATTAGCTTCATATCTCTTGAACTTAAACTAACATTTATAAACCTTTTAAATCAAATTATATTATACACCATATTTTTTAGATCTTTGGCAGGGGACAGTGATTAGTGGAAAGAAAAATCATACCATTAATTAATTAGCTGTTCAGTGTTTTCTTTATACTTGGCAAAGGATATTAATTAATAAAACTCCTTGTTCTAGTAGAAGCTTACAGTTTTTACCAAAGTTGGATAAAAAGATACAATAGGATTGCATCTGTATTTACTTTTTTCTAAAAGTAATGATTTTAACTTGTTAAACTTCTGGTGAATATACAGCTAGACTAAGCTGCTTTCACCTGTATTGTGACTTGCACTGACAGTAGGGCCAAGACTCTCTTTAGTTTTATTTAGATATTGTAGCAGTTTGTATCTCCGGCTGTTTCAATTTGGGTTCTGAGGGGGGTGCCATTTTTTAAACACTCTATAATAAAGAATTTTATTGCTTTAGTATTTACCAATAGTTTATAAAATAATAAAGTAGTATTTACTCATTATAAAGCATTTAGGTAATATAGTATCAGGAAAATGTTAAATCTCATTTGCATGATGAATTTATTCAATAAGTTTTATGAAAGCAGTGAGTTAAGTATGTAAGTAGTATTGTCCACCTGTCTAAATGTAGAACAGGTTGAAAAGCCTTAAGGTACGTATACAATTTAGATGTAGGTTTTTCTTGAATTTTAGGAGTTTTTGAATATACCTTTGGCTTATTTGTGGGATTTTAAATTGTTAGATGTTGAAACAAACAAGAAGCCAGTGCTCTGAGAAACATGAAATCCTGGTATAGTTAGAGGTTAAAAACACTGGGCTTACATATAAAACTATACTTTTAGAAAAAGAATATTGTAGAAAATCTTCAAGATCTAGGACTAAATAGAATTTTTAGACTTGACATCAAAAGTATAATCTGCAGAAGGAAAAAATTGATAAATTGCACCTCATCAAAATTAAAAATAATTTGCCCTGTGAGAGACCTTGTTCAGAGGATGAAAGGAAAAGCCTCAGACTGGGAGGAAACATTTGCAAACCACATAGCCAGTAAAGAGCTTGTATCTAGAACATGTGAAGAACTCTCATCAATTAAACCCAACAACAACAAAATCCAATTAGAAAGTGGACAAAATTCATGACAGACATTTCACCAAAAGATGAAATCACATATGATAAGCACTTGAAGATGTTCATCAATAGTCAGTAGGGAAATAGTAAGACCACAATATCATACCTATCAGAGTAACTGAAATAAACTGGTGACAAGACAAATGCTAACAAGGATGAAGGGAAAAAAACAGTCTTTTATCCACTTTTGGTGGGAACGTAAAATAGTTCAGACATTCTCAAAAAAGAGTTTGGCAGATTTTGCTGTTTTGTTACTATACAAATAAATTAACAGTTGCTCTCCAACCCAGCATTTGTACTCTGTATTAGTCAGCTTTTTGTCACTGTGACAAAATATCTAGGAAAAACAACTTTAAGAAGGAAAGATTTAATTTGGCTTACAGTTTCAGAAATTTTAGTCTATGGTCAGCCAACTCTGTTGCTGTGGGCCTGCAGTGAGGCAGAGCATCATGGCAGAGAGGGCATGGTGGGGCAGAGCTGCGTACCTCATGGGAGGTGGGTAGCAGAGAGAGCAAAGAAAGAACCTAGGACAAGATATACCCTTCCAGGGAGTGCCCTTAGTGGCCCACTTCCTCCAGCTAGGCCCCACCTCTTGCAATTTCTACCGCCTCCCAGTAATGCCATCAGATTATGAATCTTTCCATGGCTTCGTCCACTGAAGTGGTTAGAACCCTCATTATCCAATCACCTTCCTGAAGGTCCTGCCTCTGAATACTGCTGTGTTGGGGACCAAGCCTTCAACACACGAGCCTTTGGGGTGGAAAGTATTGCAGATTCAAACTACAACATAATCCTAACCATTTATCCTAAAGATATGGATTATTATGTTCAGATAAAAAGCTTTACATAAATGTTTATAGTACCTTTATTCCTAATTCTCCTAATAGCTAGGAGAACATGCTGTTTAATGGGTAAATGGGTAAAAGTTAAAAAACTGGTACAGTACATTTATACTATAGAATGCAGCAGCAAAAAGAGTTGAACTACTGATATAAGGAATGACCTAGATGAATCTCCAGAGAATTATGCTGAGTGGAAAAAAAAATCAATTTCAAAGAATACCTTCTGCCTGATTTCACTTATATTCTCAAAGTGTCAGATTACAGACAAAGAGAACAGATAAATGACAAAAGGATTGGGGTGGGATCTCTAAAGGGGTAAAGCCTTCTTTATCTTGATTGTGGTGTGGTTACACAGATCTACACATGTGATCAAATTGAGTAGAACTATATGTGCACACAGACAAATGAGTACCTATGGAACTGGTAAGCTCTGAATAAGGTTTATAGGTGTACCAGTGTCTGTTCTGGGTTTTAGTTATGTAATCTATAGTTATACACTTTTCTTATTGGGGGAATCTGGTTGTAGGGTCAGAGGATGTCTTGTACATTTTTGGTGAGGGGGATAAACTTCCTATCAAGAATTTGTATAATTATTTCAAAATAAGACATTATAGGGCTGGGTTGTAGCTCAGTGGTAGAGTGTTTGCCTAGCATGTGTGAGGTTTTGGGTTCTATTCTCAGCACCACATATAAATAAATGAATGAAATAAAGGTCTATCAACAAGTTAAAAAAATAATATATGTATATGTATATATATATATATACATATACATATATTGAGTTACCTGTCCCCCATAAAAGCATTAGTAAGACTTTGTAGACTCACAGAAGTGGAAATTTGTGTTTTAATCAATAAAAGGTAAATTATGATTATATGATTAGGTATCCTGGGTTTATTAGAAAATTCCTCTCTTCAAAATCTGTGTTCCTACTGCATTACAGTAGATACGAAGATTTTCTACTAGGATAACAATATGAAATGAAAGTATGCTTTGAAGTCAAACATGCAAGAAAATTTGTTTCTTTTGTTCCATTTTAGAAAGAAGAAGTAAATGAATGTGGCGAGAGTGTTGACAGAAATAATTTGAAACGATCACAAAGCCATCTTCCTTGCTTTACTCCAAAACCACCTCCTGACAGTGCCGTTATCAAAGCTGGATATTGTGTAAAACAAGGAGCAGTGGTGAGTAACTTAATAAAATGTGTGAGATTATGAAAATGTGAATGTACTAGAAAACTTGCAAGTTAACATTTAGAATGTTTGCATTATTTTATGAAAGTAGAGACTAGCATACTGGGAAGGGCATTAGGACCTAGAGCAGGGGTTGTTCTATGTTTGAAATGTAATGGTAGTATTTCCTTGGTCTAAGGGTTGTTGGGTAAATTAAGGCCTATTACCATTAACCTTCAGTTTAAATGAGCCTTTAACAGTTTAAATTTATTTTGCAAAGTTTTTCTGTTGATACTCTCTATCCTCTAGAATGGGTGAGGGAAAGAGCTCTAGTGCAAAGTGGCAGCCAATAGAAAGTAGAAAGTATAAACTTACCAGTATTTCTAAGGATTCAAAATGCTTTTCTTTAATTTATTCTTTCTGTGTGGGCTAAATTTTCAGAATTGCATGAGAAAATAAACTTTACAATTTGAAAATAGAAGAGGTGGAAAAAACAAACCAGCAACTCTCTTGGCAATTCTGTTTGATTGCTTATCCCTTTCTGGCAACTCTGATTCCCCTAGGTCAGCCCAGGGAAAGTTCTTCCAGCTCTGTTTGACTTCCTCTAGGTGCAGGGAAATGAAGGCGATGATTGAAGGTCTCTCCCTATAGAGTGTCTAGGGGTAGAATCAGAATCGTCACCAAGCCGTGATGCTCTGTTGTGTGTTAATGAGGGATTCCTTTTTGATTTACTCCCAAGTCCAAAATATCATTTAGAGACATTTCAGTATACCCATTAATAAAAATAATTGTAAAAATATTTAAATATATATAAATGTGTGTTTATCATTAACTATTTCATGAATTAAGTATTTATTGCTTTGCTACTACATGTAAAATACTTATAGATGGTTTCTTTGTCTGTTTATTTATAGATAGAGAAACCCAGTGGTTTAATAACATTTCCTGTGCTTGCTGTTTACTTTGTGGGGATGACGAGGAAATAAAAGTGCCTCTTTTAGAGCATTAAAAATATAAAATATCATAAAATCATTAATAAAAGCTGAAATCTAGACACCAAAAGTTGAACCAGAAGTTCAAGTCCTGGGTAGCAAAAGAGAGCCAGTGTTTCATATATTGCCTCACTGGGGGAAGGTAGTGAGGTGTTTTAATCCTTAGCATTTCTCATTGGGGGTTTATAGTGGAATGAGTAAGTAGTGATTAACATTTGACATTCTTGGAAATAAATCTTATATCTGTGTTTATTTCTGGTAGATGAAAAACTGGAAGAGAAGATACTTTCAATTGGATGAAAACACAATAGGCTACTTTAAATCTGAACTGGTATGTTGCTACATCATAAATGTTGCATCTAAAAATGCTTGAGAAGTGTTACAGTGTGGTGGTGTATGGTTTTGTGCGTTCTCTATTTTTAGAATAAGCTGCTTCTAGTTTTGAGAAGCACCTAAAGTTCAGTTTACTCTACTATGAAACTGTTGGTTAATGGTATATTTCTTTCTTTTTTTCTTTTTTAGTTGTCAGTGGACCTTTTTAAAAAATTATTATTATTTATATGCGTTGCTGAGGATTGAACCCAGGGCCTCTCACATACCAGGCAAGCGCTCTACCACTGAGCCACAACTCCAGACCCCCTTTTTTATTAAATATTAATTTTTTAGTTGTACATGGACACAACACCTTTATCTATCTATCTGTCTATCTATCTATTTTATGTGGTGCTGAGGATCAAACCCAGGGCCTGGGGTGAGTGGTCTACCACTAAGCCACAACCCCAGCCCAATGGTATATTTCTTAAATGCATCTTAAATGAAAATGTCATATCATCAAAGAGATTTTCCACCGTGAAAGATCTAAACTTAATTGTCTACAGATGTCCTCCTGAAGGGTTGTCCCTGCAGGCTAACAACACCTTGTATTTCTGCTTTCTCCTGATATTTTCTTTATCTTTTCAGATCAACTCTTAAGTTGTTTTATGTAAGGTGTTTCTCTCCTATCTGAAGGTAGAATCAGAAATTGAGATTCCCTTTCTCACATGTTTGAATGATATCCTTATTTAAAATGTTGTCAGCTGACCTGAATCCTGCAATTGATGGTTGCATAAATTAATGCAATTCTGTACCTCTTCTTGTTGAGGGGAACCAGGCTCTTTATTTGAATGAAGGCACCAGAAAAGCACTATTCCTGTAGAACCTTCTGCACAGCTGGGAGTGTTTGATATCTGTGTTGTCCATACCAGTGGCTGCCTGTGGCTTTTGTGTGCTAGAAATGTGCCTACTGAGCTGAGGAATTGACTTCATTTTACTTTAAAATGAAAACTGAATTTATTTCATTTTCATTAATTAAAATTGACATAGTTACACAAAACTAGTGACTACTATATATGGCAGTGGTGCTCTAGAAAATAGGAAGAGACTATTTTAAGTGTCATCTCAGCTATCAGCTCTTCTAGGAAGCTTTTGTGGCTGTAGAAAAGAGGGAGTAGTCAGCATAGCTTGGTGTGGGCAGTCAGCAATCACACAGGATGAGTTTGTCCTCTTTCAGGGATAGCCCAGCATGGAGTAGGGAGAGGAAAGTGTCATCCTCATGGGGAAGAAGATGGTGGCAGAGATGGGAGAATGGTTACAAACATAAAAGGATAAAATGGGGAAATATATTAAAGATAAAGGAAGCCAAGTTTCTGTCAAACCAAGGAAGGACAAATAAGAAAAATGACAAAATTTTGGTCTTAGATTGGAATTGGATAAATCTGGCATAACTTAGCACACTGAGATAGATGTGGATTTAAATGTATTGTGTGTGTGTGTGTGTGTGTGTGTAATGCATTCCCTAGCTCTGTGTCCCAAGAAAAGTATCATTTCAGAAATGGTTTCCAAAGAGAAATAGCAGATTATAGAGTGGGATAAGAGAAATAAATGGAAGGTGAGCATGGAATGTCTTGTATCAGAAAGCAAGTACTCAGGGGCTGGGGCTGTAGCTCAGGGTTGGCAGAGCATTGTTTAGCAAGTGTGAGGCCCTGGGCTCAATCCTTAGCACCACATAAAAATAAACAAAATAAAGTCATGCTGTCCATTTACAACTAAAAAGGAAGTACTTGTAGAATGATAAAGACAGGTAAAAAGACCCAAAAGCCACTTCCTTCCCTTCCCCCCCCACCTTAAATAAAGAAAGAAAGAAACCAAAAACCAGAGCATTCTACCACAGAGCCATATCCCTAGTCCTTTTTATTATATATTCAGTGCTCATCCCATGAGCCACTTTGAAAACATTCCCTCTCACCAAATTTGGGACAATGAGAGCATCAAAATGAATAATAAGGATAACAGGTTATAGCTCACTGGATAAAGTAGGAATACATATATATATAAATAAATGGTTGAATGGTAAATGATTTGTATGTATAGTAAGGAATGTGATATTTACATTTTCAGAATACTTATTTATGGGAAAAGAGCAAATTTATGGTGAAAAAAACTGGCAGAAAACCCTTTAATCAGACAGGTAAATGATTCAAATGAACTTTTTAAATAAGAAAATTAAAATCACTTATCATCCGACAGGATGGTATGAGAAGGACCCAGCTTTACTTCTATGATATTCTTGCCAAATATGCATAATATGAATCTAATCATGAAAAAACACCAGACACACCCAAATGAAGAACATTCTACAGAATAACTCTTTTTAGTTTTACGAATGTCAAGATTATAAAAGTCAAGGAAAGGAGGAGGAACTGTTCATACTAAGGGAAGGAAAAGTGAGATGGCGCAGATGTAGTCTGATTCTGAATAGAGTGCGTTTGCTCTAATAAAAGACATTTGAGGCTGGGTGTGATTACACACATATGTAATCCCAGTGGCTTAGGAGGCTGGAGAGTTCAAAGCCAGCCTCAGCAAAAGCAAGGTACTAAACAACTCAGTAAGATCCTGTTTTTAAATAAAATACAAAATAGGGTTGAGGAGGTGGCTCAATGGTCCAGTGCCCTTGAGTTCAATCCCTGGACCGGGGGAAAAAACCATACATTTTGGGACAGTGTCCTGACTTATTGGCTATAATGTGATTATGTAAGAAGATGTCTTTATAGAAAATGAGCACCAAAGTACTCAGAGGTAGTGTGAAAGCCAAGTCAGCAGCTAACTCTGAAATGACTTAGGAAAAACTTTTTGTGTATGTGTGCTAGCTTTTCAAGTTTTGTGTAAATTCATGATTTCTTCAATGTTTAAACAGAGACAGCTGGGCACGGTGGCACATACCTGTAATCCCAGCAGCTCGGGAAGCTGAGGCAGGAGTATTGCAAGTTCAAAGCCAGCCTCAGCAATGGCAAGGCACTAGTCAACTCAGTGAGACCCTGTCTCTAAATAAAATACAAAAAATGGGCTGGGGATGTGACTCAGTGTTTGAGTGCCCCTGAGTTCAATCCCCCGTACCCAAAAGAAACAAACAAAAAAACCAAAACAAAATAAAAGGACTGGGATATTGCTCAGGGGTTGTGTGCCTAGGGGTTCAGTCCCAGATACAAAAAAGAAAAAGAAAATACACTGAAGTATTTAGAAAAGTGTATCATATCTATAACTTCAAACATTTCAGGAAAGTATACTCAACATATGTATTCATACACACATGCACAGTGTTGAAGCAAGTGGAAAATATTAATATCTTAGAAATGAGGTGTAAGGTATGTAGAAATTCTTGGTACTATTTTTGTAAGTCTCCTGTAGTCTCAAATTATTTCAAAATAAAACTTTTGTAAAAAACTTTGAAAATTTGATTTCTTGGTGCTACATAAAATAATGTTATGTCTTAATCTCATGGTAGCATATTCAGTGAAATATGGATATAGTATTTTAATGGAATGTATAGTATCAATATTATCCTACTAGAAACCAGTTATCTTACATTTATATTTTTATATTTAGTTTTAGTAGCATGCCTAATCCTTAGTTTTCTCAGGTGAATAGTAGCATGTGTATATAGGATTGTGGAAAGTGTGAGGTAACACATATAAAAGTCTGGTAGATGCCCTGGCACTCCAAGAAATGGTACATATTAAAATAATGTATTTATATAAAAGTGACATATGTAAAATGATAGATTTACATCAAACTGAATGTTCACTGCTCAGGTGCCTTATATGTCAAAGTGACATTCCAAAAGAGGAGGTAGCATGCTTCACTTACTATACACAGTGGGCCTTCCAAGACCAACTCTGCTGGTTCATGGCTTTTAATAAGTGATACTCATTAAGCCTGGAAGCTTTGTTTCAAACAACACACATAGAAGGGTAGAGAATTTGAGCTGTTCTGATGCTCGGTGGTTTAAAAAGGTATAGTTATATCTTAGATGGGCTTAAAGAACCATAATTTTCACATAGATCTCCACATGAAAATAAACAAATCTCCAAATAAGACAACTAAGCCTCGGAGGGATGATAAAGATAAATGTCATACACCTGTTGTTTGCTTTTTTGCCAGGAAAAGGAACCTCTCCGCGTAATACCACTTAAAGAGGTTCATAAAGTTCAAGAGTGTAAGCAAAGGTAAGGAAGTGCTCAGACTTGACACTGGCATAGCTTATTAAGACAGGACTGCCTTGGCTTCATTGACGTGCTTGCAGGTTATGTTTATTTCTATTCTAGTGGGTTCTTTTTTTTTTTTTCCCCCCCTCAGGGGGAGGAGGATTGGAATTGAACCCAGGGCTCGGTACTACATAATTATATCCCAGCCCTTTTATTTTCTATTTTCGATGGTCTCTTTCTACCCAAGTTGCCTTGAATTTTCAGTCCTCCTTCCTCATCTACTCAAGTAGAGATAGGGTCTCACTGAATTGCTTAGTACCTTGCCATTTCTTTCTTTAAAAAATATGTTTTAACTTGTTGATGGGCCTTTATTTATTCAGTTATTTATATGTGGTGCTGAGAATTGAACCCAGTGGCTCACACATGCTAGGCAAGCGCTCTACAACTGAGCCACAACCCCAGCCTGCGCCTTGCCATTTCTAAGGCTGGTTGTGAATGCGAGTTCCTCCTGCCTCAGCTTCCCACATTGGGATTACAAGCTTGTGCCACTGCGCCTGGCTTATCTTTAACTTTTTATAGTTGGAATTTGCTAAAGTTTTCGAAATTCTCCAGCGTATTGGAGTGGCCCAGTCCTGTAATCCCAGTGGCTCCAATCCCAGTGGTTTGGAAGGCTGAGGCCTGAAAATCACAAATTTAAAGCCACCCTCAGCAAAGATAAGGTGCTTAGCAACTCAGTGAGACCCTGTTTCTAAATAAAATACAAAATAGGGCTGGGGATGTGGCTTAGTGGTCAAGCATCCCCGAGTTCAATCAATGGTCCCCTCCCCCACAAAAAATCTCAAAAGTATTGAAATATCTTGTTTATTTTTTAAAAACTAAAAGTTCAGGAATAGCTTATTAATGAGAAAGGAAAAAATTAATATGAGCAACTTATAATTATGCCATCAGATTTGACAAATTGGTATATTAAATTCATTTCTTCATGTATGACTAAAAAAAATAATTAAAAAAATTCATTTCTTCATAGTTAGATGCTTTATTAAAATTATATGTGTAAAAATTTTTGCAAAAATACCCAAAATAAATGGTTTGAATTAAAAACTGATTTTTGTAAATCAGTTTTACCTGTGATATATAATTGTTGACACATACTTGGCACAGATTATAAACAGGTAAAAAAAAAAAAAAAAAAAACTGCCCAACAACTGCTATTTAAATACAACTTTTTTTTTTTTTTTTTTTTTTTTTGGTAACAGTGATATAATGATGAGGGACAACCTGTTTGAAATTGTAACAACGTCTCGAACTTTCTACATACAGGTAAGGTACTTATTTGAAAATCATAGATTATTTATTTATTTATATACTTATTTATTTATATGTGGTGCTGAGAATTGAACCCAGTGGCTTCCATGCTAGGCAAGCACTATACTTCTAGCCCTAGAAGGTTTTTTTTTTTTTTTTTTTTTTTTTTTTTGGTACCAGGGGTGCTTAACCACTGAGCCACATCCCGAGTCTTTTTTGTGTTTTATTTAGAGACAGGGTCTCACTGAGTTGCTTAGTGCCTCACTTTTTTTGCTGAGGCTGGCTTTGAACTTGCAATCCTCTATCAGCCTCCCGAGCCACTGGGATTACAGGCGTGTGCAACCACGCCTGCCTCCTAGAAAGGTGTTTTTTTTTTTTAAAGAGAGAGAGAGAATTTTTTTTTAATATTTATTTTTTAGTTTTTCGGTGGACACAACATCTTTGTTTGTATGTGGTGCTGAGGATCGAACCCGGCCGCACGCATGCCAGGCGAGCGCGCTACCCGCTTGAGCCACATCCCCAGACCCATAGAAAGGTTTTTAATAGAATATTTGTTAGCCAGGTGTGGTGGTACTATGTCTATAATCCCAATAACTAAGTGTTTTTCAGGTATCTCAAAGTATTGAAATTATAGTTGTGCGCCACTGTTGCCAACTTAAGTAAGCTAAGTACTTATCAAGGAATATGGCATTTTGGAATATGACTTCTAAATAGTACTACTAAAAATTATTTCTAGAAAAATAATATGTAAAATGATGTCAAAATTTTTTTTAAATGACAGCTATGTACATATTGAAAGAACAAAATAAGAAGGGCTTTCTTTGACTTCTTCCTTTTATTATTTTATTTCCAGAAGTATTCATTATGGACCCTTTTAGATGTGTCTGATCTCAAAATATTAGTTCTCAACTTATGTCTTGGTATAGTAACTTACCCAGCAAAACCTGGTTTAAAAAAGTATTTCTGCCAGGCACAGTGACACATACTTGTAATCCCAGTGGCTTGGGAGGCAGGAGGATTGAGAGTTCAAAACCAGCCTTAGCAACTTAGCAAGGACTTAAGCAACTCAGCAAGATCCTGTCTCTAATAAAATATTAAAAAGGGCTGGGGATGTGGCTTCTAGTTAAGTGTCCATGGATTGAATCTCCAGTACCCGCCCCCCCACCCAAAAAGTGTTTCCAAGGGCTCCCGTTATAGCTCAGCTCAGTGGTAGAGTCCTTGCCTAGCATGTGTGAGGCACTGGGTTTAATCTTCAGCACACATAAAAATAAATAAATAAAATAAAGGTATTGTGTTCACCTATAACATACATATATTATATATATATATATATATATATATATATATATATATATATATATATATTTTGTTTGTTTGTTTCCAAAATTTTGGGAAACCATTGTCTTAGATAATGATTTTGTAGGTGGCAGTACAAGTTACCAAAATAAATATGTTGGATTTATGGAAGTAGAAGGTACATATTGAGGAAAAATTAACCGAATCCTTTATTTCCTTTAGGCTGATAGCCCTGAAGAGATGCACAGTTGGATTAAAGCAGTCTCTGGCGCCATTGTAGCACAGCGGGGACCTGGCAGATCAGCATCTTCTGTAGGTTTCCTACTCTCTGGGGTGACAGTCCCACAGGTCCCCCGCACCCGGTCGAATTGTTTTCCTTCCTCTCCCCCTAATCCCTTTGGTTTCTTTCTTTCTTTTTTTTTAGATTTATTTGCATGTTAACTTTTAGACCAATTAGACTTGCGAAGAATAATGCATTTCTAATTTAATGCTTCCTTGTAGTGTTACATATACTTAACTTTCTGTGCATTGTATTGTGTTAAATGCACAAGCAGGGCAATGAAAGAATAGACATTTCCTTGCTTTGTTTTAGCAATTCTTAACTTGTCATTAGGTCTAGATTTGGTATAATTTGAAAGACTCTTAGTGTGGAATGTGGCCTAATCACGAAAGGCACCTTTAGTTCCAGCATTACACAGTTTTGTGAAAGTCAATTTATTCTTTACTTTTCTAATATCAGTTAACATTTTGTTTCATTTTTGGTTTTTTTGTTTGGGGGTTAATTTTTTGGCTTAGCATGCCATAAGACTCCTGACCAAGCTGGAACCTTAAATATAGTTTAGTTCTCCCATTCAGTATTTTCTATTTCATGTTTGTTTATTTTGTAGCAGGTTAATTTAAAAGCCTGCTTCAAGCTGCGTGCAATGGTGCATGCCTGTAACCTCAGTGGCTTGGGAGGCTGAGACAGGAGGATCATGAGTTCAGAGCCAGCCTCAGCAACGGCAAGGTGCTAAGCAACTCAGTGAGACCCTCTCTCTAATAAAATACAAAATAGGGCTGGAGTTGTGGCTCAGTGGTCGATTGCCCCTGAGTTCAATCCCTGGTACCCCAAAAATAAATAAATAAAAGCCTGCTTCAGAAAGCTACCATAATTATTTTTGTGGTAGCATGATAATAAAATTGAAATAACTAAACATTCTACTCAGAAGTAGTAATGTCTTTTATATATCTTGTTCAATTATATAATAAGACGTATTTTCCTTTGGAATACTTTGGCCACCGATCTCTCATCTGAAAATACAAATTCTACTGAGAAATAAAAAATGTAGTGTCTTTTTTTTTTTTTTTTTTAAAGAGAGAGGAGAGGGGGAGGGAGAGAGAGAGAGAGAGAGGGAATTTATTTATTTATTTTTAGTTTTTCGGCGGACACAACATCTTTGTTTGTATGTGGTGCTGAGGATCGAACCCGGGCCGCACGCATGCCAGACGAGCGCGCTACCGCTTGAGCCACATCCCGAGCCCAAAAAAAATGTAGTGTCTTAAAGTGTTGCATTGTCAAGGGTAGAATGTAGTCTAGTATGTAATATATAGCTTTTATTATCTAGATTCATTATATGTAATCTGTACTTTTAATACTTTTCCTGGAAGTGTTGTCTTTTAATGTCCTGGTGGTGATAATTACAGATCAGCAAATTCTAGTTATATCCTTTTTGGAATGTCTGAGAAGTCACTTTTGTGGGTGTTAATTTTGAAACTACCTTCATTTTATGTGACCTTTTCAGTAGTCAACTCTGAGATTCTCTGCAAAAACAATGTCTGTTGGGAAGAGGAGAAGCTGGAGAAGGGTGCTTGTGTTTTGTGCTTTGTGGTGGGGGCAGGTGAACTATCTAGCTGTCACTGTCAGCACAACTTTCTCTTTTCCTCCCTCTCCCACGTATAGGTTAACTCTAATCTTAGCTTTGCACTGTGTTCCAGATGCGGCAGGCCAGAAGGCTGTCGAACCCTTGTATACAGAGGTATACATCAAGAACTGGTGAATGCAGCACGTATGTGGGCTCTCACGCAAACGTGCCTTCTTAGTGGAGGGCCTGACTCACTACTTAACAGCTGATCTTAGAAAGTTGAGTTCACTAAACTGCCTTTTGCAGTTGTCATGACTGACTTTGTCAACACTAACACAAACTTTCACTGCAGTCATCAGGTTGAATGTGTATTTTTAAAAAATGTTTATTTTTTAGTTATAGGTGGACATAATATCTTTATTTTATTTTCATGTGGTGCTGAGGATCCAACCCAGTGCCTCATGCATTCTGGGCAAGCGCTCTACCTCTGAGCCACAGCCCCAGCCCTGAATGTGTAATTTATTAAAAAGATTTAAAAAATACAACTTAAATAATGTAAAGAGATATTAAGCTAGGTTCTAAAAATTCACTTACTGAATTGCTACAAGAATTTCTATATTTTATGTTTTTTGAGATATTTTATACTGCAGCACTTGAAATTTACCTTTGTTCCAATAATATATACAAGCCTTGCATGCATATACATTGGATAAACTAATTTGCATGGCATTTTAAATCTAGTGAAATTCAGCCATGTAATAGAACTCTGTTGTGTTTTTGTAATTTGTAGTACTTTGTTTTCAAAGCCACTGGTATCATAAATGAACAGAATATACTAGGAAGTATATGGCACAATGCACTTAGAATGGTCAAGTTTAAAGGTATATTCTGATTTGATCTAGTTAGAAGCATTTTAAAATTCATAATTGATATTACTTCACCAGTTTAAAAATGACTATATGCTCTTTCTTACCTTTAAAATCTTAAACCATATGAATATATAACATTCAAAACTAAATACATGAAATTAGATGAAAAGACCGTGTTCTTATTGGTTGCAATGAAATTTAGGGAATCAAACTAAATTTTATCAGATTGTTAAGATAGAATATTTGAAAAATCTTGATTCCTGATTATCAGAGAAATTTACGACTTTGTATTTTTATCTTTTAAAATACACGGGATAATTCCCATTGTCAATTGAGAATATACTCTTAAATAAAAGGTAAAGCTGGTAGGCTTCCTCTAAATACAGTTCAGTTGCAGTTGGAACACTATCCTGGTTTAGGCTGGCTAAGTCTTCAAAGTGTCATTAGCTGCCAAATTCAGCTTTGATGACAGAACTAGGTTCTTAATAGAAATGGTTGTTGGCTGTCATTGCTTTAAACTCACCTTTAAAAATGCATTTGCTTTGGGAAAGAACTTGCGCATTTATCCTGCATGGCTTATGCTTCTGCTGCGTGTGCGTGTATGTGTGTTTTTCAGAGAATCGAGTCTTACGCTGAATTACTAACCTTATTGTCAATGATTGACAGTGTCTGACCATTACTCCTCTTTCTAGGAGCATTCCCACAGTCCTTCAGAGTCCAAACACACTGTCCGTCCTGCCGGTGCCGCAGCAGCAGCCACCTCACATTCCACAGCCTCTCGCAGCAACTCTCTGGTCTCAAGCTTTACCATGGAGAAGCGAGGATTTTACGAATCTCTTGCCAAGGTCAGGCCAGGGAACTTCAAGGTCCAGACTATCTCTACAAGAGAACCAGCTTCCAAAGTGACTGAACAAGCTCTGCTAAAACCTCAAAGTAAAAATGGCCCTCAGGAAAAAGATGGTGACCCCGTGGACTTGGATGATGCAAGCCTTCCAGTCAGTGATGTGTAAGATGGAAGCATGCAGGGGCCTACCACCATCCATCCTCAGTGTCCTTCATGAGGCTTCTAGCCAAAGATGATAAAGGGGGAAGTGGGTTTTAATGCATATATTATACTGCCTCTTAGATGTACTCTTTGAAAGCTGGTAAACCAAGAATCTAGGGAGTAGCCAAGTGAAATGTCATTTTTTTCAGAAAGAAGGAAAAAAGCTGATCGTCTTCGTATCAACTATCTGAAGCTTTGTGTATTCTCCTTTGGGTGGTAAAAATGTGTGTGTGGTATTTTTTTTCCTAGTGACTTTGACAGTTTAAATGTTTAACGACTTATAAACATTGAAAATGCTTATTAATGATTTTGGTCATTTAAAAAATGCTACTATGATTCCTATTAAATGTTGATATTTAAACATCATTATTGGTTAATATTATTGAATGAAATATTGCCAGACTAAGATTCTTAAGCTCATGATGTCTGTGGTGCTGCAAAATTTATACTGCAATGTAGACTATTTTGAAATCATAACCATTTTTGATGCCCTGGATCTTGAGATGAGTGTTAAATTTTGCACAGAAGATATGATTTAGACCCTTGGTGGGGATGGGGGGTTGTATTAGGCTGGAGAAAGGGGGGGGGGGGAATTAGAATTCAAACTATATTTTAAATATTTGTTTGAAAAAGCTTAGGACTTGCAGCTGTCAGTGCTTTTGTTCAGTGACGATCATTAGGTTGGAAGTATTGGAGATACCTGATTTTCTTAACAAAATTTTGTAAATATTTCTCATCTCCATATTTGGATTGGTGAAAGACTTCAACTTTATATGTGACAACGTAACTGCCCTTAGTCATGAAATTGTGGCCTCTACTTTTTTGTTACTAATAACCTGTATTCAAGTGCCTGTGTTTTTCCATCTTGTTTAAGAATATGTTGAGATTAATATGCTCAAAATTCCTACATGATTGGCTTTAAACATTGAGATAAAACTTTTAGTAGCATAGCTTAATATGTTAAATAATATAGCATTTTATGTTAGAGATACCAGAATGCTGGTATTATACTTACCTGTGCAATATACATGTTTTAAAAAACAGTTTTAAGTATACACTTAATCATGGGGATGTCAAAAATATCAGCACCTCTCTAAAGAATTCTATTGTTGCAATAGACTAGTTTGAGAAAGCGCCATTTTGCAGTTCAGTCTTAAACATTTGCTTTAAGAACACAGTCTTGAATTACACATGCTGCTATTTTTATATTTTACCATTTTCCAGTACTGTTTTGTTTTGAATTCATACATATCACCATTTCTCCTTTTTATTTTCTAAGATGACTTCTTGTCTGAGAGGAAGGAAAATTTTCTACTAGTGTGGTAAGGTCCAGAGCTTAAGATACATAATACTAGAATTAATAGAGTATGAGTTAAAAAATCCAAATGCAGGGGCTGAGGTTGTGGCTCAGTGGTAGAGTGCTTGCCTAGCACATGGGAGGCACTGGGTTTGATCCTCGGTGCCACATAAAAATAAATAAATAAATAAAGGTATTGTGTTCATCTGCAATTTGAAAAAATATTTTTAAAAAATCCAAATGCATAAGAATGCACCACTCACCTTTTTTTATTCATAAGCTAATATTTTTTAAAGTTATATTTAGATTTTTCTCTTTTGCACCTACATTTGAAAAGGATAGAATAAAAAGGTTTTAAATAATTACACTTTTTCTGCTGACCTACCCATTTTAATGGCTCTTTTGAAAGAAGTTTTGTTTCATGGATGCACCTAAGAAAACTTGTATAGAACTTTGCAATATTCAAGAGCTTGATGCTGTTTTCTTTGGTACAGCTTCCACATTGCATGTTCCTTTTAGCATATTTTGGTATTGGTAATTTGATATATTTAATGGTGGCAAATATTAGCTCTATTTTGGGACTTTTTATAGAACTACCCTTGTTCAATAGCATAGGAAAATGTTCTTGTGATTGTCAGGGTCTCCTAGTATTTATCTCAATTCTTTTATAAGTCTATGGAAATTATTTAATTATTTTAAAACTTACACTTTTCTTGTAAATATGTCACATCTGAAGTGTCAAAAAATTACTTTGAATACCCTAATATTTGCTGCATTTTTTTTTCCTGTGTGTGTAACCTGTCTTCTTTCAGAATGGGAATGTGTGCCTCCCAATGTTTACTGTTACGTCTTTTATCTTTATATGTTGAACTGGTTGAACACTGTAATGACTTGAGAATAAACTGCTCAGAATTCATTCTAATTTATTTCTCATTCCATTTGCTTCAGCTCTCCTATGAACAAGTAAACAGGGCAAGTACAAAATGTTTTTGGTAATCGACTTAAATTTACATATTTAAGGATAGTAATTATTTGCTAATCTTTGAAAAATTAAGAAACTTCAGATCTGTGAATTTTAAAGGCATAGCTTCATGTGAAGTTATACAAGGAAAGATGTCAGGGTTTTGGGGGGTGGGGGAGTTTGCAAGCATAGAATCAGACAATCAGGGTTGCTTATCATGCTTGCTCATTGGTTAGATGGTGTGAGCCTAGGCTTGATGAAGAGGCCTTTTGATTCCCAGGTGGGACATTGAGGTACCCTCATAAAAAACTCCATGGGCTGCTGCTTCTCGCAACTTTTCCCTGTTTTTTGTTTGTTTGTTTTGGGCACTGGGGATTGAACTCGGACACTCAACCACTGAACCACATCCCCAGCCCTTTTTTGTATTTTATTTAGAGACAGGGTCTCACTGAGTTGCTTAGGGCCTTGCTAAGTTGCTGAGGCTGGCTTTAACTCTCCTCCTCCTGAGTTGTGTGTGCCACTATGCCAGGCCAAGCTTTCCCTTTTGATAATACATGTTTCTTGACAGCTGTGGTGAACACCGCACCCAGAGCCCTCCCTGTGTGGTTTGTGATGTACAGGTAAAGCTCAAGTCCTCCTTCAATAAGTGAGGACAAGGCATGAAGAGAATGTATTGAACTGTACACTTTAAAGTACTATGTACTTTAAAATACAAATTCTTCACTTGCAATTCTGGAATGTTCTCTGTATAAAGAAACCTTCAATAATCTTAGATGTTTTATTTTATTCTTTATGTCTAGTTCATTGTTAAATTCTGCTGCTTTTCTCCTGAATCTTCATAATCCTGTCCTCCGAGATGCTGCCCAAAATGACTTTGAGCCAGTATCTCCTCTCACCTATTCATGTCCTCTTAGACTCCTCTGTACCACCCTCATCCTGTCATTGCTCGGGGCAGGCATTAAACATTTTGATGTGTGCTCTTTTTTACAAAAGCTGAGTTATATCTTAAAGATCAATCAGTCCAAACCTGTGCCACCAGGAAGGAGAGGATTTGCCCATGGGACAAAGAACTGTTAGGATCTATACCTTGGCTAGAGTCATGTGGGTTGGCTCCTGGTGCCCTCCAGGAGTTCATCTCTCCTCTCCAGACAGATTCATTTAGTGTTCTGCTCTTTGGTCTCGCTCTCATTTTCCTAAGGCCACTTGTTCTCTGAAATGCTTTCTTCTTCATAGGCCCTCAGATCTCTTCATTTATTTAAATGATTTGGTGAAAAACCCACTGAGCAGCTGCTGAGTAGCTTAGTGTGCATTCCCACTCGCCCTTCCCACATTGGGACCACGTTGGCCCTAGAATGCAAGGAACTTGAGGTTTGATCAGTGTTTCATTTTTTAGAAATCCATGGACATTTCTATATTTCATTTGGTAGAAACCCACTTGACATCTCTATACATAGCATTTTCAGTGCTTTCAGAATGGGGAATATTTAATATTGATACTATTTGGGGAAAGCTTTGTTTCCAAGACTTTATCTGAGTTTGATTTTTTTATTAACTATCTGTACACTTATTTTTCTAAAAGATTAAGATTTTTTTTTTTTTTAATTCAAAGTGCCATTGCAGGCTGGGGTTGTAGCTCAGTGGTAAAGCGCTTACCTTGTGCATTTGAGGCACTGGATTTGATCCTCAGCATCACATAAAAATAAATAAAATAAAGGTATTGTGTTGATCTACAACTAAAAATATATATATTTTAAAAGGTATCATTGCATGCTTAGCCCATGTTCCCTTGTTCATGTCCAGCCGTGAGAGACAGTTATAACTTGAAAATAATTTCTAGCACATTTATCTTGGAAGCCACCTCATTGAAAGCTACTGGCCTGCCAGCATCTGGTGCTGTTTTCCCCTCTGGATCACAGATGCTTTATGTTTACCCTTTTGTTTGTGGTTTCTTGATGCTTCTTATGTTCCTGTAATAAGTAGCTCTCTTGCAGATAGTTTTTTATTATTGTTTTTCTTTTTGGTACCAGGGATTGAACCCAAGGTGCTTAACCACTGAGCCACATCCCCAGTCTGTTTTTCCTTTTTTTTTTTTTTGAAACAAGGTCTCACTAAATTGCTAAGGCTGGCTTTGAACTTGCAATCCTCCTGCCTCAGCTTCCCAAGCCACTGGGATTAACAGGTGTGTGCCACTGTGCCTGGCTGAATACATAATTTTGCTTATTCATAGACATAGTTTGTCCATTTTTTAAAAAGATCTACTTAAGACTAATGTGACTATTAAAATTAAACCAACAGCCCAGCAAAGTGGTGCATGCCTGTAATCCCAATGACTCGGGAGACAGGAGAATCTCAAATTCAAGATCAGCCTCAACAATTTTGCAGGGCTGTAGGTTTACTTAGTAGTAGAGCACCCCTGAGTTCAGTCAGTCTCCAGTACCCAAACAAACAATACACAGTTAAAACAAAAATACTGCATTTTTGCCTTCAGTGTGTCTTTTTACCTGAACTTCTCTTGTTGGTCTACATACAACAGCTGTCTTATACTAGGAATTTTGGGGCCTGGATTCAGCTCCAGGTCTGCCACACTTGGGCAAGTGTATAAGTATTTTGAAACCTCACCTTTACATTATAGAAAACGAGAGAATTGTATCTGTCTTGGTAATTTTATTAACCCATGCAACAATTTTCTTCCCTCAAAAATTATTTTAAATGTTTTTAAAGAAACCCCAAAATGAGAAGGAAAATGCTAAGCCTTTTTGCCTTGACAGAAAGGAGTGCCCTCCCTCAGCTTTCCTTTTACTTTTGGTTGCAGCTCAAGGATTTACAACCAGCTGGGCACCTGGGCACCGTGATACATACCTTAGCTACTCAGGAGGCTGGGGCAGGAGGATCACTTGAGCCCAGGAGATCAAGACCAGCCTGGACAAGGTAGCAAGACCCTGTCTCTTAGAAAAAATAAAGAAGAGCTGAGGTTGTGGCTCAGCGGTGGAGTGCTTGCCCAGCACCTGCAAGGCCCTGGGTTCGATCCTCAGCACCACATAAAATAAATAAATAAAGACACTGTGTCCAACTACAACTAAAAAATAATTTAAAAAGAAACTACATAAACCCGCTAACAGTTGTTGAGATAGGAAATATTTGTATCAAAAATGCAAAGATTTAGCCCCGTGTGGTAATCCAAGCAACTCGGGAGACTGAGGAGGATTCAGAGTTTGATACCAGCCTCCGCAACTTAGTGAGACCCTGTCTTAAAAAAAAAAAAAAAGTTGGGGGTGGGGTGTGTGTGTCTGGGGATGTGGCTTAATGGTTCAGGGCCACTTGGTTCAACCCCTGGTACCTAAATAAATAAAATGTGAATAGTGTTTTACTATTGTGTATTCATGGATAATAGCTCCACCTTCTGGTTATCCCATTGCTAAAATTAAAAGTAATTTGGTACCTGTTTCACTTTCTTTACCCAAAACAGAAAATTAGAGAAGATAGATGGTTGCTTAGGATAGTTTTGAAGTTAATATCAAATTTAAGCCACTATTTACAAATGACTTTTTGGGGAGAAGGAGGTATTGGGAATTGAACCAAGGGTCACTTCTAAACTACATCCCCAAGACCCTGTTTTCAAACAGGGTCTTGCTAAATTGCTGAGGCTGGCCTCAAACTTGTGATCCTCTTGTCTGAACCTTCTGAGTCACTGGGGTTACATGTAGGTACCACCATGTCCAGCTACAAGTGAATTTTTTTTTTTTTTTTTTTTTTTTTTTGGTACCAGGGATTGAACTTGACCAATGAGCCACATCCCCAATCCAATTTTGTATTTTTATTTGGAGACAGGATCTCACTCAGTTACTTAGCGCCTCGCCTTTTGCTGAGGCTGGCTTTGAACTCATGATCCTCCTGCCTCAGCCTCCCCATCTGCTGGGATTACAGGCTACAGGCATGTGCCACCATACCCAGCTACAAATGAATTTTGGATTAAACTTTTTGTATAAAATACTTGTAGCTTTACATGTAGTTATAAGAAATATTAGAAACCTTACTCAGTTTTTCACAACTGAAATAATACAGTATTATAACCAGGATATTGAGACTGATGCCATCAAGATACAGAACAATTCCCTCATTCTGACCCTTTTATAGTCACATGCCTCTATTTTATGGTTTGGAAACAGACTTAGTCATTTGTCCAGAGTCACACTAGGATTAAAATGCAATCTTTAAGTACCAAAGTTTAGGCTTCTTACCCCTATGATACTCTTGTCACAGTAGGAGTCTTGAAAACTGCTTTGTTTATATTATTTCTGGTTACTAATAATGAGTTGAAATTTTATTCGGTCTTATTTTCAACATTTTCCAAGACCATAATCAATCATCCATCTTCCTCCCTCCCTCCCTCCCTCCCTCTCTTTTTTCTCCTTCCTTCCTTTCTCTCTTCCTCCCTTCCTCCCTCCCCCTCGAGGTGGAATCCAGGGGTGCTTAACCACTGAGCCATACCCCTAGTCCCTTTTATTTTTATTTTGAGATAAAGTTTCACTAAATTGCTGAGGTTAGCTTTGAATTTGCAATCCTCCTGCCTCAGCCTTCTGAGCTGCTGGGATTATAGGCTTGTGCCACCACACCCAGCCACAACAGTGTTTCAAATGACAGTTGTCTTTATACATTCCTTTAACTTTTTTTTTTTTTTTAATACACTGGGAATTGAATCCAGGGTGCTTTTATCACTGAGCTACATTGCCTGGACTTTTTTATTTTGGATTTTGAGATAAGGTCTCACCAAATTGTTGAGGGTCGCACTTATTTGCTGAAGCTGGCCTCAAACTTGCCATGTTTCCTGCATCAAGCCTCTGAGTTACTAGGATTTCAGGTGTGTACCACCATACCCAGCTCAAGTGAACTTTTAAGAATAATAGATAAGTTTCCTGATCATAACCTTCCTAAAAGATTTCATGCTGACATGAATTAATAAA